GCCGTTGGCGCGGGGGCCGCTGTGAGGCGCTGTGCGGCGGAGCGTTTCTCCCCGGCCGCCTGCCGGTTTCCTACCAGCCGCCGAGCCGATGCCCCGAGGGGAAAACGTTCCCCTTGGGTTATCGCGGAGAGGGGAGGAGCACCCTGCTGAGGGAGGGAGGGAGGAAGGGAGGAAGGACTGCTTTTTGTCCCCCTCTAGCCGCCTCCTCTAATTTTTGCATGGGCCCTAGGAAATTTTTAAGATGGTGGTTCGGCAGGGCAGGGCCTTGTCTGAGTGGAGTTTGGGTGGCTTTTGGATGGGTGAAGTCCACTGGCATAGCTAATAGTTCTGCCGTGTTATATGTCTGTTCTCTGCTTCCCCGCTATCAAATGGGGGGCTTATTTATCTCTCTGCATGTCATGGAGGATAAAGCCTGTGAGGCGCTGTGGTAGGGAATGAAAAAGTGAGAGAAGCCAGTATGGTATGGATGGGCTGTGCTGAATTAACATCTATTTTTTGTGCCGCAGGCTATTTTGGACAGCTATTTCAGGCTCTTTCTGCCCACGTAACCCTTATTGTGTCCGATTGTGTCCATTTTCCATAAAACTTTGTCTACTCAAATTGTTTCCTGTTTGGGTAAATCCTGTTCTTTGCAATTTGTCAAGCGATGGACTGGATGTTATTTTTGTGTATCTTTGCTAATCATGGAATTACGAAGAATAATGAAAAAAATGCATAGGGTGTTGCTAATTTCAGCACTGGTAAAGTGAGGCCATGAGATGCCATCCTGCTATCTGTCCGTAGACTTGGGGTGTTGTTTTACTTTACAGCTTCTTATACAGTTTTAAAGATAACTATGTTAGATTTAAGGTAGGTTCCAACTTCTGCCAGTCTTTCTCCCAGTCACTGGAAATGAAAGTAATCATGCCAGAGACTAGTTGTGCTAAGTTTCTTATGTAAAACATGAGCTTTGATTTTTTGGTATTTAAGTCTGTTTCTCACTAGTTGCATGTTGAGCAACTAGTTGAGCAACATCTTAGCTATTAACATGCATGTTGCATGTTGAGCTTAATTACTTTCTAAGCTGAACATGGAAAATGACCATGTATTCTTTCTGCTTTTCCAGTGAATGAGACGTTTTTGGTGGCAAGTTTTGAAGACAGATCAATATGAAAATACCATAGAGAGAGAAAATACCATATTTTCCCAGTGAGAGCAGAAATTTAAGAGGAAATTAACAGAAATGGCCTCAAAATGCATTACAATAATCCCTAGGATATTTTTTTAATGAAGGGGATATAACCAAGTTGCTGATTCTATCTATTCTTGGGGGAGGGGGGGACGCTTACTACATTTGCATGCAACTGTTACCATTCCCTTCATTCATAAATTAATTGTGAAGGAGGTAAAGTTAATATATGTAGAGTTAAAAAATATAAAAATTCTATTTCCTCATAGAAAATTAAATTACATACGTAGACTCTCATTGTTGAATAGTTCCTCAGATAAGTAGTTTCATCAAAGCACTATTTGGTCTACCAGCATCAACAAAGGACTGACAGTATAGCCTACAATGAGAGATTAATGGCATGCTGTTCCAGGTGTATGTAGTTCTTTTAACCTAATAAATGTTATGGGCAGAACAGTCATTGCTAGGGTATGCAGCTAGCTATAAAAATGCACCATCATGCTCTGCATAGTTAAGAAAATAGAATAAGACCTGGCAGGGAATTTTTGAACCAATTCAAAGGTAGGAAACTAAATAATTTGTTTTATATTATAATTCCATATGCATCGTCTTTCTGTTTCCTCGTCTTGTTCTGACACTTGATTCTACCCCAGAGCCACAGTAAGGCTTGTCCAGCCATGTGAAAAAGATGAAATAAACTAAATCTGGTGCTCTTCCTCCATTGCATTTCCTAAAGTACTTCAGGAACTTTGCCCGTACTTCAGATGCACATGTAGGTTTTTCTCCATGTTCATCTTTGAAAGATCTGAGAGAAAAGCCTTTGGCCAACTGGGTTTTCATGTTAGATGTCTGGATGAATTGTGTTCCAGTGGTCTTAGCCAGGGAGAACGTGTAGACAGAGAGCAAAAATTTGAACACGTTTTGATTGAATGACAGTTGCCCAGAGATTTTCCTGCCCCTATTATGGCATCAGAGAGGGGTTAGCTAACAACAAGCCCGCAAGCATACTACGCTGCTGGGTAGGAAGGAACTTGACTCTTCCTCTGGGAAAAGTGGGACTAAGTTGACCTCGTAAAGCCAAAATTGTCCCTCTGCAGCTCCTTCCAATGGTGAAGTATTTGCCTGGAATGAGGCTGCCTCTGGCCCCATAGCTCAGAGTATTTGCAGGCCAGCAAAAGGAAATCTGGGCTGTCTGCAGCTCTACTGTTGTGCACAGTATTTGACAGACTTTAAATAACATAGTCTTGACCAGTCCACAACTTCTTCTCTAGGAATTTTTCTAAATGTTTATAATTTAGTCAGATTTTCATGTAGTTTCTCATTTATCTTCATCCTAAAGCTATGTTGAGTCCAGATTCTGCTTTACTTGGGCTTCCAGCTTCTTTTGAAATCCATCATAAAAACTTCCATCATAACATGCCTTAGTATAACATGCAAATGCATTCGCCCCTAGAGCACCCTTTCAGAGTAGGTTTATTAATAAATATGTTTCTTTACTGCCACTGGGGTGGAAGATGTAATGGAGTCTGCATTCCTTAAGCAATATGGGTTGCTATTTAAAAAAGAAATACATTGTAAAGAATTCCATGAAACTGTTACAGCTTTAACTACCCTTAGGCAAGAATTTCAGTCACTTTCTTGTATAGGAAAATTAAATGTTACCTGTTTACTTGGCTTTTTGAAGATGGACTATTTCTAATCCCCTTTTTAAAATGGAGATAACTGTAAAAAAGTATTCACATAACACCATTACCTGAGTTATATTTCAAAGATGTATTTTCATTCCACTTTTTTCAAATGCTTTATTTTACACTTTTGGAATAGTAAGATAAATTGAAAGAGGTCATCTTAAGTACTTACAAGACAAAACATTATTTTCTGAGATGAAAACTGTGCACTAAGTTCTTGAAATATGATATATTTTATTTGTTTCTTGGAGACTGTCTTCATTTTTTAAAATTTGTCTCATTGTTTCATATAATTCTTTAAAGTGTTGTTAAGATTTAAGAACGTGCTTAAAAAGTTTCAGTTGTCTCTGGGAAAAATAGTCTTAATTTATGTTGACCTTTCTTTCCTTTGAGTATTTAGTCTGCATTCAATAAAATTTTGATGACTGCTCTTTAGAAGACAGCTGTACGATATAAAGTATTATAAATATTCAGGTTTCTTCTCCTAGCGTTGCCATTAACAGCTGGGCATCCAGTTCAGCAGAGCAGATTTTGCAGAGAGAGCTTGGCATGTTCCTGAATCAGTATAGTGAAGAAGACTAGCAAGTAGTTTCTTATGGTTTGGGGACCTGTAAAGACATAGAGCATCTGTTCCCCAGTTAAGTCATAGTCTGGTAGCACTGAATCATGTTAAGAGCTAAAATGATGGGAAGAACTACTTTTTTCACCTTGACTGTACCTGTGTTTTAAATGCCTAATACATTATTTCTACTAATGGCAAAATAGTTTCAGCATTTGCGCAGAAGGTATGTAAATGATAATGCTCTTGCATTTTTTTCCTTATTTGTAGTCTTTGAGAGAGACATATACATTTTAATAGAGTCCTGTGCAATTTCTCTTCAGTGTCTTCATTTTATTTGTGGTATAAAGTGGAGAATTGAATTTTCTTTCTAAATAAGCAATGTTTTTACTATGTAGTATTTTAACTAGTTAATATATTTGCTTTAGATGACATTGGTTTTCTTTTACACTGTGAAAAATGTAATGCATCTATGAGAAGGATAAATGTCTTTAAAATTACGGATTTTAGACCTTACTACCAGAAATCTTTGTGTCTCGGTGATCATAAAACTTGTCCATATCTTTCTCTTGTAGAGTTAAGAGAGCACTAAAGTTGGACACTGTTAAAAAGGATAATGTAAGTATTCTGTCTTGTGTATGGAATCATCTAGGGGATATATATAGAGAGAGAGAGAGAGAGAGATAAAATGATATTTCAGTAGAGTTGTGTTTATAATGTCACCAATTGGATGTTATCTAGAAAAATCTCAACAAGGTATTCTATTATCTTAGAATAAAATTTGTGTTCCATTTGTCATAGAATTGCATGGCTTTAAATAATGTATGTTTGCATGAATGGGTTGAAAATAACAGGAGAAATATGCATGTGTTTATTACCTTCACTATTTACCCAAGAGCTAAATGACTTAGGATCCTTGGTGAAATCATTTATTAGAAATTAGCTCCATTATACTGGAAGCAAATGTTCTACCATGTAATTGTACATGTAACAATATGGAATTATGATAATGCTGTAATCTGCATATTATAAACTCCAAAATTGAAATGAAAACATTAAAGGCATTTTCATGTCAAGGATATAATTACCTCCCTCAGCTAATCTGACATAATGACACAGTAAAATACTAACACTGCAATGAATTTCACTGCAGTTATCACAATAAAAATAAAATTGTACAGTTGCTATTATTTTTTGTAAATGCAGCTATAGTATACTCCCAGTACCTGCATGTCAGGACATATGACAGTTTATTATCTACTCAAACCAACAGTAGGTGTTGCTACAAGCACTGATACAGAGGAACTTATAAGGACGATAGTATTTAAGTAAAGGAAAACTTTGGAGAAGTATATGAAGAGAAATAGCTGGTCAGTAAATGAGCTTGCAATAACTCTCCACATCTATGTCATTTTAGAGAGATTTGTTTATATGCAGTACATATTTGGAGGTCTCACTGGGTATTTAGCAAACTAGAAATCTGCAATTTTAAGAATTTGCTAGATACTTTTTTAATTTAAACAAAGGTGGCAAAATACCGCAGTGGCACTAAAAAAAATCATTAGCAATTTAATTAGCAGCTTAGTGTACCATTACCCAACTTGTTCTGCTCTGAATACAGCTGTGACTGTAATTTTGCATCTGTTTCTTGGGTTGTAGTAACATTTTTGTAGATGAGTGGTCCAGCTGAAATTACACTCAATTCTTTTTCTGCCTTAAAGCTATTTTTCTCTCTTCCTCCCTCCCCCATTGAAATACCCTGAAATTTTGATGAGGCCAAGAACATAATAGAGGCTGTAACAAAAACAATTGTTCACATAGACAACAAGAATATGCATATTTATGTAGAAATGAAAAAAAGGGGGGGGGGAGTATTGTGCTTCAGGATATTTAAATCAACTGCTAACTGTCTGAAATTGAGAAGAAAACTTCTGTGAGTTATGTAATTGTTCATTATTCTTGTAAGTACAGTTCATACTCCTAGTTTTATATTTACTGCCTGTGTAAATGTATACTTTTAGGAAGATTATAACATCAGTTTAAAATTAATTATATGAAATAAATGTTTTCTGTCAGTAATTTACTCAGTGATGAAATGTGATTTCTGGGACTTGGATTCCTAGTGGGTTGTAGTGGCTTTAAGTCACCTTTGTGTTTGCAGCTTTGGGATCTGAATGAGATATGACTTAGGGCTCTCACAAGTGTTGCCTAGTAAATCTCATTATTGCCATTAAAAATACTGTTTCTTCCACCTGGCCACCCCGCTCCTGCTTTTGAAATCTGAAGTTGCTGTAGTTAAATTTTCCAGGGGACGTTTGTGAGAAACCTTAACCTACAAGCAGGAACTTACAAGAATTGTCTTTACATTCTGTGCGGTGTTCTTGACTCAGACCTCATTGGCTCACAACCAAGACCCCAGTAGGCTCTTCTCGCAGGTTATGCAAGCAATTCCTGTGCTGAGAAATCCTAACTGGGCTTGAAGAAAATTTTTAGGTCCCCTTTGTTTTATCTGGTTTGAAGAGGAAGGAGTAGCATGAGGATCTTCCTCCGGCGAAACAGAGTAACACACGATTCAGGATGAAAAGAGAATGAATTAGTTATTTGACGTGGCAGAGGAAATGTCAATGAGCAAAACGCAAATATCGGTTTGTTTAGTTTTTTTGACTTGGCTTAACTACCAGGGGTTTTTTAATGACTATGAAGTGAGGATCTGGACTTTATATTTTACTCATGGTATTGAAACAGTATAAATATGCTTACCTGTGGAACTTAAAGAGAATAAGAATAATCATGTTTAATAAAGCTTCCAGTGAAGAAATACTGTGTGAAACTGAGTGACTGTTATGAGTGACATGAAGGCGACAAATGATACATAGTCAATTTTATGGAGAGAATGAGGTTCAAGCTGATAGAAAAGGCTAGTTCTTTAGGAGGTGGGTAAGTCATTCCTTTGCTTCCTATAGTTGCAAAAATAAACAACCTTGCTGCAAAACTCTAAAGACTCAAGGTTGTAACAAATTAAAAGTTGAAGAACCTTCCAAATGAGTTTCTCTGTGGTATTTGCTTTCGGTGGTACAGTTTCTCCAAAGGAAAAAAAGTCATCAAATTATAGAAAGCAGTGTAGCGATGTTACTGCGTTTATACTCCCTTCTCTAAGCCCTTGAGCAAACGTTGAAAGTGAGTGGAAAAAGTGATCTTGGCCAAAATATCCCTTTATTGTTGGCATAACAGCATGAAATCAGTCGTGCGCTGCCTGTGTTCACCACTTTAGAGGTGACCAGTCTTGTTTGGAAGCCACAGGTGACTTGATCTCCTTGAAATGAAGAAGTTAGGCAGAAAGGGAATGTTGCCATTTTCAAACTATGTTTTCCAGCTTGGGAAAAGACCTTTCTGCTCCTTTGTTTAATTTTTGGATCAGCTGGTAACATATCTTGTCAGTGTAGATCTGGTAGTATGTGTATTGCTTAATACTTAAAATTCAGTTATGTGCAACATCTCATAGTCACTAGGTCTGTAGTTTCTGAGAGTATAAGATGCTGCTGATCCCAGTGGAGTCTCCTCTAGAAGTGCTACATGTGTTTAATTTCTTTGTATGCTTCCTTTTTGGTACGGTCATTAATGATGTTACTTAAAGCTGCTAGACTTTTTTAGTTGGAAGCAAATTGTTGCTTGAGCTGAAGCCCTTGATGTGCAAACAAATGTTTTTTCTAGGTGTTAGTATAGTGGAATTACAGTTTCTCGGAGTTGCAATTCAGCAGCCAATCTAGGGAGTAAACTATGCCCCAGAGAATCCTAGTTAATATTTCAGAAGTATAGTCTTGTTTTTCTGGAATAACTGCTCTGCACAATCCTTTTATATCATTTGAACATAGTGAACACTAAACCAGAGGGGAAAAAAAAATGTTTTTAATGGACTGGTTGGGGGGGGGGTTAATTAACACTTGTTTAGAAAATCATTAGAAATAAGTATCATTTGATAGAATTAAAATCTAAAAATTCATAGTTAACGTTTCATGAGTTAAGTTTCAGCACTGTAGGAAAAATAACTGCTTTTATAACTGCTTTTATAACTGCTTTTCCAAAAATGTGTTTATGTCAGAATACTAAATCTCTGGAAGCGACTTCTTTTTTATTTTTTATTTTTTTTAACTGGGAAGCTCAAGATTGAATGGCTTAATTTTTGGGTAAAACTAATGTTTTTACATACAGTCTGGGCTTTCCATAAGTGGGAGTACATAAAGTTGCGAATTATTTAGAAGATCTGTTACCAAATAATAAATGTTCAGAGTCGCTTTGACTGGTTTGGGGTGCAACATGCACCTCTCCTGATAGGAAGGGTGGAGTTTTCAAAAGGAGAGTTTGCAACTGTTGTAGGTTCAAAGGGATATAGATGCTCTGTTTTCTTTATCCAATATTTATCTAGATTATTTTTCTTTTACTGCCTTTAGCCGTCTGAAGCAACACCTTTGAAGACCAAAAAGAAAAATCTAAATTCTTACTCACCGACAACAGGAACATGCCAAATGAGTCCGTTTTCATCTCCCACAAGTCATAATGTACAAAATCTCAGAAATGGCCTATCAAATGGTTAGTTGAACATTTTGTCTTTCTTACTGCAACACTTTTTCTGGTTATTGGCTTGATTTAGTAATTTATGTCTCGTGTGGTATGTTTGATTTCTTTTTCCTCTTAAAGAATTTTGATCTTTTTTTTGATAAAGCTGCTGTTGATTTTTTTTTAGAGCTTATATCTTTTCAGTATAGATTTTGGGGGTTTTTATAATGAAGCAAATTTTGCCTTTGCTATGGCATGTGTCCATTCAGTTACATAGTCATGGCTTTTGTCCAAACTGTGAATGCTCCAGAAGTATCTTTTCAGTAGACTAACTTTACTTTTATAGATGTATAGGTTGGGTTTGTTAGGGGTTAAGGAACCACTAGATCATCTGGTATGACTTTTTTTTTTTAAAAAAAAAAAAAAAAAAAGCTTTTCTGAGCCCAGTAGCTTTTGTTTCCTAGAAAATGGTTAGGTCTTGATTTGAAGACTTCAAGTGATTTAAAAAAAAAAAAATCCATCACTTTCCTTGTTAGTATGTTCCTTGTTCAATTACCTTTGCTACTTTAATAAAAAAAAAAAAAACTATCTGATTTGAATTTGTCTGGCTTTAATTTTCAGCCATCAGTTCTTGTTATGCCTTTTTGTTGGGTTAAAGAGCTTTTTATGCCCCATATATTTTGGAATTTATGTGCTGTAATTGAGTCCTCACTAACATTCATGAATTATGATAAGTAGAAATATTCTGAGCAGGATAAAGTAACCACTGTTAAGAATTTCCAGACATCTAGATAAATTTCAGCACTCGCTATTGCACCATGTGCTCTCATAATGGGTCTGCAAAAGTGGATAGTGTGGTTTTCTTTGTTTTTTTTTTTTCATAAAACAGGGAAATTTTTAAAGGAATGCAGTCAAGAAACGTTGGGATTCTGTCAAAACCGGCCAAACTAAAAATGAGAATTACTTGAAGCCTGCAAGCTGTAAATACTAGAATCTGAGAGCATCACATCCCTTTTCCTTATTAAAAATAGCAGAATACTGGGGGAAGCATGGAAGTATCAGGTGTTTTGTTGCTGTTATAGCTATGTATAGTTACAGCCTGCGTGATTTTTTTTTTTTCCTGATTAGTAGTCATGCTAGCAAATCATACTAAACAGGAGCAGAAATGTCCTAACTTTTATTACGCTGCCACATTCTTCCTTTTGACCTGTTTTTGTCATCCTTACTTGTTTGTCAAGCACTTTTAACTGGATAGTTATGTACTCACTGTCAATCATTCTCAGTAGATTCACGACTTTCCTACCAAATTCATTGCTGCTTCCAATTATTCCCAGAATAGCTGTTCTTCTCCTTCAGTGCTCTGCTTTTGAATTGGGCATTTGCCCCCAGAACTAGTACAGAAGTGACTGTTTCGGCCATCAGCATTCCAAGAAGCCTTTGGAGGTAGAATTGGATTAATTTCTGCCCCCTCACACAGTGAGTTATAGCATCTCTCGACTAATTGTGCAAACCTGATAGCTGGAAGAACTTTAATTTCAGAACACCCTTGCCTTCACAAAATTAAAGATCTCTTATCAATAGCCTGCAGATAATGCATCTTTAATTTTGTGGCATTTTTATAACTATATTGAGATTTGCAATGAAAATCTTGATTTATGTACTTCCAGGTTTGGGGTAGAGGAAGCAAGCTTTTGTCTACTAGGGAAAAAAAAAAGGACCTTTGCCACAGTCCCTCCCCTGTGAACATTTCTTCTCAAAACTAAATGCCATCTTGACTCCTAAAAAGATTATTATTTGGCACAGTGGGTATCTCTACTCTTCCACTTAATGCACCTCCGGAAATCTATCTTTTAAGTGACATTTTATCAGCTCTTTAAGGTGTAGACCTCTGCATTCCTAAGGGACTGTAAGTGATTTCTCTTTGAGATGATTTTCCTCTTCAACTAAGTTGCTTAAAACATTGTCTTAAGTGTTGCCATAGATATCCCTGGTTATGTGCTAAATTTTTAAATCAAGTTAGATAACAATCTAACCACACTGTTTTTCAGACTCTTCTAACTGTGGAAAGAAATTCTTCTAGTGCCCAGCATTGTGACTTAGTTTGTTTTAGGGAGCTTCCAGTTTCGGCATGTAAATTTGCATCTACTTTATTTTTCTGCAAAGAGAAAGATATTTTCAAAGTATTCCGAGGTCAGATGTCTAGGCCAGTCTCTGCCTTCATAAGTAACAAGAACAATTTATATTTCCACATACTAACTCCTGTGCCTCTATTAGGATTTGATGGCACTTCCTGCATGGCCTGAGGAAGCTATGGTTTGTGGGTGGGATTGGTTTTTTTTCCCCTCTCTTGCTAAATATGAATTTCTGTTCATCCTGTATAAAGGAATCATTCAGGAGGAAAGGTGGTCAAGAAATTTCTCCATCAAATCAGAGGTATGGCTGTTGTTAGTCAAGTCAGTTGAAATGCCCATGCTGGCACCAGTCACGTCATAGGTCAGTTCTTTTTCCATAATTTGGTTTATTATTTTGTCATGATGTAACATCCCACACTTTCACCCAGAACGGAGTAAGGAGTAAGCAGATTCAAGCAAAATGACTCTGGAGGTTAAGCTAGGCGGATTATGATCACTGAATTAAGATTACCTGTATCCTGAGGGAAGAATCAAATTAGAACAATCTGTGTTCCCATTGACTATAATCTAGTGCATTAAGAGGAGCAAGCTTTCTGTTACAGTGTTGGCACATCACAAAAGCAGTTCTGAAAACAATTCTACTTTCTTAATATATAAATGCAGATTTAAATTTTGTGGCTATCTGCAAAGTATGAAACACTACCTCAGCCTGACTCAATATCCACCTATGCTTTAATACTTACACTTTCAAAACCTTTTAAAGAGGTATGTCATGGTAGCAGTCAAATTAAAAGATTATGGCTCTTCAAATATGTTTCCCTAAAAGCCCTAAATGTATGCAATTAGCTTCTTAAATGGATCTTTCCTTTAGTTTTAGTCAAATGCCTTTTTTGGACAAAACTCATGATAAACCATCAGTTAATAAACAAATGTTTAAATGCACTGCAAGCTTTAAAACTTTTTTGGCAGCCCTGCACTCATATTATAAGCCTTATTTCTTATGTAAAAGACAAGAGGGGGGGTCAAAATGCTTTGGTCTAAAATGTCTGTTTATTGGGATGTCAGTGGGAGGAAGGGTTAACCTGAACTGTATTTCCATACTGAAATGAAATATGGACATAAGGGAATGTTCTTTTTGCCTATAAAAAGACTGATCACATGTTCATAGCTGTCATTTAGATAGATAATTATTTGGTAATATAGCAGTAGCCATCTTTTTTCCTCTGTTCATGTAGCTAGAAAACGGTGGTACAGACTCCGTCTCATATCACAGATTTCAAGCTGTCCTTTAAACCCACCATTTCTCTTCTCCTTCTGAAAAGACACTTTTATTTCAAGTGTTCTGGTATTTTAAAAGATGATGCATATCACTTATATGTGTGGAGTGGTGGAGTGTAATCCATATTCTATTTTTCTGTGACCAGTATGTAGGAGCACAACAGAATGAGATTTTATTGCAAAATGAACACCGCTAGCTATAAAGACTTAACGTTACATTGTGTGAAGTACACTAAGTTGCATGTGTAAATGTAGCTTCATTGGGGAGACAGGTGGAAGTTATTTGTCTTATGAACATGACTGTCTTTTGGATAATGGTGTGCAGGAGTGCCTCAAAGAAGACTAAATACCCACAGAACGCTAATATTGTTCAAAAATAGCCATTTACTTATTTTACAGGAAGACATGAATCGCCCCTATTGTAAGATAGTTTGCCTTTGTGATGTTGCAGTGTCCTGTTGGGCTGCCTGATAATTTATATATTCATTGATAAACTACCCAAAAATCCCACAACCCATTTATGAAATAAATTTTTAAAATAACAGAATATTAATTCTTCGCTAGTTCCTCATCATTGTTGGCTAGTATATTTTTAAGATTTATTTTAAATGAATTTACTTATATCCAAATCAGTCCAGGATTCAGCCCTTCTGTAGTACTAACCTAACAGTAATTTCAGTTTGATAATTGATGGCTGATTTAAACGTAAATTCTAAAGTACTTAGATTTAAAATGAAATCTTTTGGGGTCTTAACCTTTAGCTACTGTAGTGGAACAGCTTAAACTTTTATAGCACCTTGTCATTCTGAGGAATTTCTAAACGTTTTACAAAATATTAAAATTAAAACTTAATCCATCCTTGAGTGCTGATACTTATATGTAATAATTTAAATCTAGCAAGAAGAAATCAAAATGCTTAATACTTAGTGTAGTCTTTCTTTTTCAGTCTGATATTACAAAGGAGACGTATTACAGTGAAGGGTGAAAAGCACCTCACTGCAGAGGGTCTTTTCTAGAATTACTGCATTTGTTAAGGCCGCAATGAAGACCTATCATAGTTCCCTCCAAGTCTTTTCCATAAGGCTGAATTTCAGTTTACCATAACAACTGTCCCAAGATGAAGCATTCATAAGAAAATATCTGTATCTGTTGGAGGGACAGTGGGGATGAACTAATTGAAAATGCCTCTTTGAGAACTTCTTTGGGACCAGAAAAAAATATCTTTCTTTGGATGGGTGATTATAGTCTTAATTGGCTATAGGTACAATGAACGCAAAAGCTGACTGACCTGGATGCAGTTCTAAGTCTCTAGTTTGTGTTGGAGCACTAATGACCTCATTGTTTAAGGGGAAAACTACTAGCAAAAAAAAATGAGTGAGCGCATGAATTATGCCCTGGCCTCTTCATATATACGCAAACACCATCACCATTTTCTTAGTAAGTATCAGATCCAAATGGGATTCAGTCTGTTGCACAAGAGAGTGGACTGTGTCAAAAAAGAACTCTTGCCTTGCAATAGAAAATGAGAGATTAGGTGTGTGACTGATAATGTTGGGAGGGGCGGGATTCAAAAGCTGGAAGTTACAGAAGTTCTATATTATGGGATGTCTTCAAGTTCAGCCACAGCCGAACGGAAGCCGTTTCTACTATTCAGATGTGATCTCTTTATGGCTGGAACCTAGGCAAGCATAACACCTGAAGTGTTGGAAGGTGACCATATAGATTGTGTGGAGCGTAATACCATCAATAGTTTTGGCCATACTGGTTCCAGTAGATTCATCGGAGAGTTCTGGACTATGGGATCCTATCAAGTTTTCGTTAATCATTTTGTACAACCTGTAATTATCTGGGAATTAAATTTATTGTTGCAGTTTTAATGCTCTGAATAATTTGGCGTGAGATCTACATCTTCAGTTTTCAATATTCTTCCTGAAGTCTAACTTAAATATTTAAAAGACAACCTATGCTATTCTTTAAGTAGTAGCTAGAAGAGATGCAGTTTTTTTTTCCTGCTACTGCATCGCCCTCCTGATTTGCTCATTGGAGGGCAAGCGAAATTGACAAGGTAATGTACTGACGTTTAAAAGCCATGCTAACTGATACACCAGATAAACTTCTAATCTGTTATGTTCAAATACAATTTTTATCTGAAATGTTTAGGCCGTGATAAGTTGTGTAAATAAATGGAAAATCAGAAAGGAACTAGTGTTTCTTGTGATCAGATGTATACTGGGTATACTCCGTGTTATACATACGAAGTCTTTGTAAGTGGCTGTTGAACCACCTTGAGTAGATGGCATCCGAGGAGCTGGAGACTTTTAGTGCTGCACTAACTTTCTTAATCTTGTCAGCTTCACTGAAAACATCTCTCCTTCCCCCTGCTTTGGGAAAGCAGTCTTTGTGTTAGATGCTTGTACTGGATTTTGGTCATTTAAGAATGCTCTCCCTACAGTGACAAAAAGCAGGCAGATTTCTTATGAGAAGGGCAGTTTATTTACCTTACACCACTTGTAAGCCCAGCTTTTGTTAATTAAATCCATAGTAGACTTTTGTGGTAATATTCTACTCCTGTTTCCTCACAGAAACTTGTAACTGCTCGAAACTTCAGTACAATGAAATATAGAAATGTGACTTGACATGCTGAATAATGGCTGCTGGCGTATGATTTATCATGCCCCATCATATGACAAGCACCTCAGCTAGAATATTATATTGTCAATATAGCATGTCAGAGCCTTTGGAAGTAATTTGCACTGTCTCCTTGTAGTTGCTTACAAGATGGAGTTGGGTCACAGGCACTTTTTATTAAAGGAAAACGGAGATTGCCTTGTTCTGTCATTACAGTAGTTTCTTGGTAATGACCTGTGCTCATATGCTGTACTGAGGAGGCTAATAGGACTAAAAGCTTCTGCCTAGGAAGCTATACTAACTTCCAGTTATTAATACTATAATCCGAAGGTTTTCACAAATATAAATTGTGAACTGATGAGAGGTCACACTACAAAAGACGAAATTATAGTAGTGTGTTTCATTATTACGGAATCTGCCCTGCTTCATAAGTGAGTTTTTTTTTCTTTTCTTGAAAGATCATTCAGCAGTCAAGGTTCATATTAACACCTATCTCTTTTATGTACTTCAAGTATTGGATATCTTGTTTTCATCTTTCTTTCTTTCGTTTCCTTGTAAACCTCCTAGGAGATGGAACTGAGCAGAATGATTCAGAAATCAGATTATCCAGAAGAGGGCAGCCTCAAACAGAGGAGAAGGATGCGTAAGTGTATTTCAGTGCATTGTGGATGAAATTCCATGATTTTTAATTATGAGAGATGTTAATGGTTCTTACGGAATTAAATGAATAGTGATTATTTTTTAATAGTTAAAAGTCATTGGGGTTGGATTTTCAAAAGCGTTGAATGGCAGCCTTACATCTATAGATACAGATTGCTATGTGTTTTGCAATAAAGCTATGCAGCCAGTGCTGCTTCTCACTGGTAGTGGGGCATATGATCCTCTGCCAGTTACAAGAGTCACACCCGTAATACTATACCAAAAGATATTGTAATTAAGTTGACTAAAGGAATGTGCATTTTTTTATTTCCAGACTCTTTTGAAAGTGTACGTTCTTTACCTTTTTTGAAAGCGTTAACTATTGGCAAAGATACAGGGCCAAGATCACAGGGACGCTTTCTGATAAAACTAACCGCAAATGATCATGACTAAACTTAATATTTGTTTTGCAAAATCTTTTCACATTTTTGTCTTTTCTGCCACAATCTTATTTTAATCTATAGGCCTACTGCTATTAATGGACCTTGGGCAGTCCACTTTTACTAAAGCACAGTTTTTAGGTGAAGTATCTGATTAACTGCATTCCTAAACTCGATGGATGTGAGGAAGAAGAGGTATAATGTACTACAAATGGGGCTGTTAGTGTCTCATTTTGTTAGTAATGCCTGATCTTTTCTGTTATTAAAAAAAATTGTTTATAATTTATAACATTGCCAAATTTCACCTAAAATGTGAACTGAAATTTTGTATGCCAACAGTGAGTTGTCAAGCTGAATGTATGATTTATGTATTTCAGCCAAAAACAAACATACCCATCCCTAAGAACGAAAGAAGGGAAATGTTAGTTCCATAATAAAATCTGGTGATTGGAAAGCTGTGAAACTCTGTATGTTGGATTGTATCAGGGATGCTTTTCATCTTCATGTAAAGTTATCCAAGTTGGAAGTCTTTGAAGTTATGAGCTTTTAAACTATGGCAGTTGTACACACTTAGTATGACTACCTTAAGCTTCAGTGTAGCTACAAAGCTGAAAGTTTCCTTCCTCAATGAGCGTGTTCATACCTCTTCCAGCTAAAACAATGTTATTCTAGATCCTCCCCTATCAGTTTCCATCCTTTTTACTCAACTGAAATTGCATTCACCTTCTTCAACACTGTGGCTATACTTTTGTTCTTGAAATCTTACTATTCTGTCATGTTGTCCTGCCTTTTCAGTTGTTCCTTCAGCATGTCCTCTGGTGGATCCTTCTTATTCCCTTCCTTCCCATTTATCCCCATCTTTCTATAAACAGTACCTTTTCTTCTCCTTTCGTGTTTTAAAGTAAGGTCACTTTTGAGCACAAATGTAGATAACGTATTTCAGCGGAAGACTTGCAAATATTTGTTTTTTCTATGCCATCTTTATCCAAGATGAAATCTTGACCTGCATCTTTAACATCTATCTGAGAAACTCTACTTCATGACTCAGCATCAATATGTCTATATCATATCTATTCATCTCTCCTCTACAGCATTCTCAATTTTGCTGTCATTCTGTGTGACGTGACTGTCCTGTATTTCATTCAAGCCCAGAACCTGGGTATCCAATTCAAATTGTTATCTAAATTCTCATGTCTGTAGATCCTGCATATTTCCTCTTCAAAATACCTGTGAGGTGAATTTCCTGTTATATCAGTTTGTCACTGAGAGCTCACCACCTCCAAATGTAATGCAAACCTCCCTTTTCACCACATATTCATTTTTCAGCAAGCTTTTTTGTACTTTGATTGTGTTCCTACTTCTGATAATGGTCATACTGTAAGTCCTGTTGATTTTGAAGGTAGAGTGCAACTGCTGTGCTGCAGTTTGTGTTACTGGAAGAAGTATCACCATGCTAGTTCTGAATTCCCTGCAAGCTCGTTAACCAACGGACTTTAAAGGGTTGGATTTTTGTACTGAGATGGTTTTCTTTCATCATATGCCTAAGTGTATATAGATTCTGTCATTCTGCTTCTATATTCTGTTGTATGTGTTTAATATTTGTACCACAGTAGTACCTGGTGTCCCAGAAAATAATTCTCTTGGGGCTAGATATTTTCCACATACATTTATTTTTACTGACAGACAGATGATATTCGTGACAGGTATTCGTGACACTTACTCAGATAAGTATTATGTTTCTTATGTTTGAAGTTATAGCTCTTATCTTGATAATTCCACTTAAACTCTTGGATGTGATTTTTATTGTAATGGATGCTTACCTCTGTCATTAAGTTGAAATTTCCATTGTAGGATGGAAAGCATTTTTAAGTGATGGAGACCAACAGACAGTAGAGTTGCTTGGGTGACACTTTAGATGGTTGAGAAATTAAGTCTTACAGCTGTACCAGTAAATTTACCAGCTGTAAGTTCTGATGAAAGTATTTTTCTGTGATACAGTAAATCCTTTGATCAACATGTATAGACTTATTTCTTAGTGATTGCATTCAGCAGTTCAGTGTGATTTTTAAAAAAGGGCAAAATTTTCAGAAGACCAGCATTTAGCAATATGCCAGTAAAACACTTTTATAAACTAACACCTACCCAGTAATATTTTATGTGAACTTCCATACACTTTATAGGTGAAAAAGGTATTGTACAATACACCGACACTGGCATTTTCTTTCCTGCATAGCCTTCTGTTGCCAAGTACAAATGCAATAGTGATGACTTTTTCTCATATTGTAATTCTCTATCTAAATATGAGTTTGAGGGATTCTTTTAAGTGTGAGTCTCCTTTCTGTGTGAAGAAGCAGTAGATGTTTTCTTTGTTGTCTCCATTTGATTTCTGTGTTAATATACTTCAAAAAGAAACTAGTCTAAATCTGAAAGGGGAGATAGTGCAACAAAACTGCACAAATAGCATCATGTGATGTTGTCCAGACTGGGCTCAGTTTTAACTTTTAATGTGTCCTATGGCTACAAGCAATGTCTAAACGTCTTACAGTCCATGGGTTTTGGCAGCCTGTCCTCTTGATTAAATTCCTGTTTTTGGGAACAAATTAGTTTGATTCCTGTTTTTACCATTGTCTTCCTGCATTATTATAAGAAAATCCTCTAATATTGCTGAACCTGAGTTCCCTATCCTTAAAATTAGGATATATGTTTTTGGCAGTCCCCACATATGTCCTAACTAAAGGCAACCCATATATGTTAAGACACAATCAGGTGTCCGCACAGTCCATCTGTTTACAGTTAATGTAGATCCATCCTGAGAACAATTTTAAGAAAATCTGAAAAACAGTGTAAATAATGATTTTTCACTAAGTGGTGATGTGACTAATTGAGACTGTCTATTTCTTTTTAACTTTTTATGCAGGTTCACAGAATTGCAGTCCAAAGTTAAAAATTCATTGCATAGAATTCTGAAAATCAGAGAGAATCTGACAAGCCTACAGGTTTGATTTACGCTGTTTAAATTGTTTTTATGTACTTTTAACATAGGACGTGAAATAAAACTTAAATATTGTACATAAGATTTTCATTTTTAAGGAATGGGGAGGAAAATAAAATACTGGAAACCAAGCAGATTTGACATTGACATGGAAATCCGTGTAAGACTAAAAATGATATACTTGGAAAAACAACTTTAGTTTCTAGGTTCCTTTTTTTTTTTTTTTTGATTTGTTTCTCTCTGCTCATTTTGTGCACAAGTAAAAGCATAAGCATATAAAGTATTATCATCTATTATTTATGACCTGTGATGTATGAATTATTACTACAGAGATTTTTATGTTCTTGAAAATTAAACATCCCTTTATACCATTTAATTTACCATCAATGCATCATTATTTAATAAAATCTGTTTAATACGTGCTAAAATGCAAATAATTTTTCTGGTTTATTCATATTTTGTTTCCTGAATAAATTTAGCACAGGGTTGATTTCTATATATCAATATCCTCAGAAATAATTCAATGTACTGCAAATATTGTATTGATCTATTTTACTTGCATAGGTAGTCTGACAATCTTTTATTTACAGAAAAGACTACCCGTTTAAAATCTTTTAATTGAAACGTTTATTTAGAAAACTCTATTGAAAAATCCTTTATTTTTCTCATTAAATTGATACTGAATGTTTTTAGATGTATCATGAATGCTGAGGAGTATCTTCAATAAAATCTTAAATGCTCGTAGTTTTCCTTTATTACTAACATAATATAATAATGTTGTACATGCTCAGAGATTGCTTTTCTGGGAATCAAGTGTTTATGTGTTTAAACAGCGTAAGACTTATGAAGCACAAATAACAGGATATTTTAAAGTAACATTTTCAAAGGCACTTGAATGCCGTTTTCAGAAGTAGTGTATGTTTTTTACACACTTAAACTTCTGAGTCCCATTGACTTTGAGGTGGAGTCTCATAAGCTCTTAGAGCTTATGAAAAATTCGAAAGGGAAACATTCCTACTTTCTGATGCATTTAATAAGTTGTACACATATACAATACATGTATACAATAAGTTGTAGATGTAGAAGTAGGTAATTTTGGAATGGGAGTCAACAATATCTTTAATTATATTTCTTTCCAGGCTTTAGAGGGCAGTAGAGAGCTTGAAAATATCATTGGTGTCTCAGATTTGTCTTGCATCTTGAGTGCTGAAATGCAGAAAACCCAAGCGCTAAGTAAGAAGGATTTTCAATAACTGTTATCGCTTTGCAACAATTTAATATGGATCATTCTGAATTTTTTCTAGATTTATACCCCACTGTTTTGTTATAATGCAGTGTTATACTCCAGGCACCTGACACACGAGTTCTTTTTGTCAGGACTATTACAGATGCACTTCCTTGTCCATCCAACCAAGGACATAAGAGAAGGCAACCCCAACTGCCCACTCTTCTACCTGGTAGCCACGGATGGAGAGGAAGAACTTGCAATAGTAACACCTTTTCTGATGTAAACAGTTAGATACTTAGTGGATAGTTAGCTAGTGATTAGGCTAAACGTTAACACTTTGATTGGGTTTCCTCTGTTCTCTTTTTGCAAGGAAGCTGTTTTGTTTGTTTGCTTGTTAGGAGGATTAGGCTGAATATAGGTTTCCAGGCTTTAAAAACTGCTATTCATGTGTCTTTAAATGATGGACATACCAGATGCTTATTGTGTTGGGATAAGGGCACTTTACAGATACCGCATCTGTAATACTTTTCCAAAGGAACCCAGAAAACCAAAGATTCTCGTGTTTGTGTGTCTCTTTTAGGAAGCTTTTTATCTTTACTCTGAGTCTGAGGTTCTTGGGACTAACGAATCTTCAGCAGCTAAAAGGGCAGTCATACTTCTCTTCCCAAACACCTCTGCAACTGGAAGAGCTATATGTGATGGGAAGTATTTTAATGCACAAAAACTTACCATTCTTCACTTTAGAGAGAACAGCATTAAAAAAATAAAATAAAAAAAAAAAGGAGGATTGGGAGATTCCTTTAAGAGCTAAAATTTTTCCCTAATCAGAGGTAAAAGGTAGTTCTGGGCACCAAAGCATTCTGTTGATGTTCAGGCTCTAATAACTACACCTCAAAACAGTTGGTTTATTCATTTTTACAAAAGCAACATCTTATATCTATCCCAAATCTGTACCTCCCCCCCCCATCTGTACCCATATGGCATGACTGTGGTATGGGTGTATATGTATGATCACATTTGCCTACTACAGGTTCTCAAAGATTTTTATATATGGTGGTGTATCCAACACACATTGTGGCACAAAAGTCTGCAGGAACACTCTTATAGTCTAGCTCCCAGCTCATAAGTCCCTGATAAGGGAATATAAGTAATATATGTGCAGTGTCTCTATGTCCACTCTGTGGACAAACATGTAAAGAAGATAAAACAGTTTCTTATTCTTCAGCAAATGTGATATATTGCCAGTATACGTTATTCTACAACCCGTCTGGTTGCTCTATTTTCTGTAGAGTGTAATAACACTGGAATTAGCTATAGCAAAGCAACACGTAGGGTGGCTGGGACAACTATTTATGTTTTTAATTGAAAGCAAGGAGGACAGTAAAGCCACAGGTGCTAGAGGATTTTTCTGATCAAAGAACACTGACTCATCTAAAGCATGAGGTTCGTGCACCCAGCAGTGGATTGTATTTTTTGGACCACACAATTCCAAGAAGTACTGTTGTTTAAATCACCATTTCTCTCTCATGATTTGTGTTCCAGTATTCATCCAGTTTTCATTTTACGTGTGTATACACTGTACTAGTTCCTGCCATAATGCGTATAAACAGATGCTTTCTTATATGAAACAAAGTTTTCTGAAAGCAGTTTATATTTACATTACTACCCTACACTGCGGATAGGGCAGTAAGACTGCTATATCCAGGAGAAGGTTGCAAATAGTTCTCAGACTTATTGTTGACACTATCTATTAAGTCAGTCAACTGTTTTTGTTAGCCTTCTTGTTGCCTCCAAAATGGAAAAGAATCCTATGTTCCCCAGTCTCTGAATTGGGAACAAAGCCGCTGTGTCAGCACTGGAAGACAAAAAATGGGAATAAAATATGGTAGGAGGCTTGTAAACACAGCTGCTCAAAATTATTGTCTTCCTTTTTGCAAATTTCTTCCTTTTTTTGAGCACAATACACAGATAAGCTTTTTTCGTCACCCCTTGAAGAAAAATACAAATGCGTTGACCATAAAAAAGAAAGGATATATATTTATTACTTTCCTTAAAAACTCTAGTGTAGTTTCTTGACTTTGCATTTGTTTCTCCACTAGTGAGTCATGTAGAAGAACTACAGCTGTTGAAAAGAAGCCATGGAAAACATCCTGCCCGAGGTAAGACACTTTTTATAATTCTTGTGTTACAGATGCTTTGACAATTTATTTTAGTTGATTCCTTCTTAGCAGTTCTTTCTATTTTAAATAAATTGGATAACCTTTAGCATGTAAAAATTATAAAAATCAAATGTGTTTCTTCAGAGTATGCAGGCTAGCCTAAACTTTTACACTCATATGCAAATTTCATCTTTTCAGCAGTTTTTATTATGTTGGATATTTCTCCATAAAGCTCTATAAAAAGAAGAAATCATTAATGGTCCTGCGTTTGAGGCATGGTCTAGAAATAAGTGAAATCAGCTCATAGGGAGTTTACATGCCCTTTTTATATATCAGCTATCCTTGTTCTTCCTTTCTCTTCTCTCCCCCCCCCCTGCATTTTCAGCGTAAGCCAAGTAGCATACGGTCTTTGCAGCAGAACCTTTTATCACCTTATATGTATTGTGAGGTATTTAGCACACTCCTGGGGACTGTGAAATCCTGACTATTAGGTTTCTTCATAACTAATACTGAGAAATTATTTGAGGTTGGTGGCATTTAGTATAGCGTGGCCCACTTAGCCACTTCAGCCCCTTGTCTAATTCAGAAGGTGAGGGGGGTGAAAACAAGATTTCTTATCTATCACACGCATTAAAAACAACAAGCATTCACCACTTTTGGTATTTCTGTTAGCTTTCATGCATTCTACCTTAAAACAGAGCAAGAGCAGAATCAAAGTTGTGATCTATACTGTTTTGTCTGCCAGAGCTGTCCCAACCAGCAGGACTGTTTCGTATCACAAGCAAGCAGCCTCTATGACTTTGGCTGTATCTGTTCCTCCAGTCTGTTCCTCCAACTAAAATCTTTCTTTGGGGAATTTTCCTCCTATAGTGATAAGAAAACATAGTATTTTCCTTGGCTCCAAGAACATTATCACAAAATTAAAAGTGGAATTTGGCTCATTTGTGCAATCTGCTATTTTTGATTTACAGTACAAACTCCCCATGTCCTTTTGTTCAAATGGATCGCTGCTTTTATCAGGCAGTGATAATGGTGAGCACCATGGGCCACTCCAAGTTTAAAGTCATTGCCTCCTTTGTGTGTTGCCCCTTAATGATCACTGGAATATACATTAATAGTTCCATCTTTGCTCTGGAAACTAGCCCATAAGGCTAAACACTTATCCAGTGATCAGTCTTGTTGGATGAGATATTACCTTTGTGAAAGAGGATAGAAATAGAGTTATGAGTTTAAGAAGTTGACCATCTTTGAAGTTTCAGTGTCAACTTTGATTTAACAAAGAGTAAGTTCCATTTTGCTGTCTTGAAAATATAGACATGGTAGAGGCAAAGTAGTATGTAATTAAAAAAAAAAAAAAGAATTTAGAGATGTTTTGCTTTGCCTTTTAGCTTTGGAATGTGTTTTTTCATAATTATTTTTAATTAGTTATGCTCAAGACTTAAAACCTATGACTATTCTGTGGCTTGAAACAGATGGAATGTCACATTATCATCACATGGTGAGGCATGAAATTTACTTTGCATAAACAACCTCTACTTAAAACAACTTAATACAAAACATTCCTTGCTCAATAGGCAGCATTATGTAGGACTCAGTATATCATTTTGTGTGACCAGCATAAAAAATGGCATCATTGTTTGTCCATGACTAGCATTTACAGTAAACAAAATGTTTTTGAATAGAATGTAAGCAAACTGTAGAGCAGCTGCCAAGAGATGAAATCTAGTGACTTTGTTGCAGTCCAAAACACATTCTATGTGTGTTGAGAATAAGTGTTTAGGTTGTAACAGGCATAAGTTAAAGGAAAATTTAATAGTTTCCCCGTTTGAAGGAGTGAAGATAGCATTTGAAACAGGAAAACTGCTTAAGCTGGTTGTTACAAATTATATTTTGTTTCCTAAGAAGAAAAACACTAACATAAATCATGTCCATGACTGTTTGTTGTTCAAGTAGGAAACAATAAGAGAATGTTATAGCAGACCAAATACGTGCAGTGTTAAGGAAAACTATTTTCAGGCAGTACCCTATAATGACATACAAAATACTTTTTTCAAGGGCAAATAGGATCATCCCTTTTAAGTTAACTATCCACAGTACTGATAAAGAAGTTTAGTTCTAAATGTTTGTTACTTTCATGTTGTTTTATTTTTAATACCAGACAAGTGATTCAAATTTGTGCTCTTTGCAAGGATAGTGGTGTCTTTCTGAGAGACCGTATCAGTGTTAACTAAGCGGATTTTCATTTAACCGCATTTGAAATTACTGATGAAAACAAACCAGGAGAGACATGGGCCAAGTAACACCAGGTTCCCACTGGCCTGTCCAGTTTTACTGTACTCTGTGAAGTGGGCAGTGAAAATGCTGACCTCTTTGTTCTAAAACAACTATGAAGCATGGCAGTTGGACCTTGTATGCCAAAAGGCAAGAAAATAACAAACTGTTTTTCCTTGCAGGTAGTTTAATCTGCTCCAATTCATATAAAAACTCCCTATTACTATGCTCACAGTCAGCAAGAGAACACCTTCATTAGGCCAATGGACTCAGCAGCAAATATACCCATAAAAGGCTTACATAAAGAGAGACAATGCTTTTCTCTGAGGTATATGTTTCTTTTAAGCAATACTTTACCTGCGGATTAAAATACAACTGAATAATCTGTTTTGTAAAAAAAACTTAAAGAGCCTCCCAGGCTAAAGAGAGAGGCAGCTAGAGAGCTATTGTAAAACTACACTTTGTTATCCAAGGACTTTCTTGTCTCATCTGACAGCTTGGCTTTTGCTATCACAGGCTACTCTTCCAAGGAGTTTGAGGGTTAATTCAAACTCAAAGCTGCCAGCTTTGCCTTTCTTTTCTTGATCTTATGTTGGTTGCCTCAAAGAATGGAAAACTGAACCTGCCTTTCTGGACAAAGACACTATTGCCTCTGAATTCTCAGACGTACAGGAAAATATTACAAATTTCCTGAAGTTCTGCTGTTTTCTTGTACAGCCATCTTCTTGAAACTAATTGTCACACACACAGGAGCAAGAGGTTCCTTTTTTACTTTTTGGTCAGGGTTGCCAACTTAACTGCTTTTGAATTATTTCAGAGTCCAAGAAGACTCTTGCTGTGTGTATATGACTAAATGTAAAATCTCATTTTAAAAACTGCAAAATGTAGAAGCCTCCTTTAATAAGCAGAATATTGTCTCACAGCAGATAAAATGGTAAGAATATGATATTCCACATTTCATGTCAATTCATATCAGTTTGTTTGGACTTTGCATTGGGTCTTGGTGTACAAGCAACTTAATAGTTTGGGTCTGGGTTGCTGATGCATTGCTGTGGGTGAAGATAATTCAATTTTTCAATATATTTCTACCTCATTCTCAGATGAAATAGAATAAATTGTTGACCTTCAGACATGTTTGGGTGTCTATTTCCCACCTATCCTTCCTTCTCCCCCTCCACTGGGATCTTCTGGGGAAAGAGACCTTGGATTTCAAATGTAAAATTTTCAGGAGAATATCTGTGGGCTTTTCTGACCCTTTAAAACCCCTAATCTAAAAACCATAGGTTTCTCTCTCAGCCTGACCTTGTATTCACCTGCAGGGAAGAAATATCATCATACCTTCTCTGGGAAAAGTCAGTCTCATGAACTGGCTAAGCAGAAGGTTATCAAGTGAACGGAATGAAATCCACAAGTGAATTTATTCAGAAACTGAGTGTCCTTCCCCTGTTTCCATTTCTTGAAAGCAAATGAAACAAATAACATGATTGCCTTTGCTTACAGCAAATGCTCGAATGCTCGCTTTTCATGGTAGGTGATAAGTTGGACACAGCGTTTGGACCTAGATATTAGGAAAGGCCTTTTTATCTAAGGAATCTGTAGGCCTCTTTCTTAAGAACCACTGTATTAGCTGAATGTCAGAAAGAACAATATGTTCTGGTTTTGTGAGAGTCTCGCCTCTAGGCATTGGAGATAGAGATATTTCTGAAATTTAGTTCTTTCATATTTTTAAAGTATTAGGAAAAGGCTGCTAATGTGTGCACACACACACACAGTTTAAGAGAATTTTGACAAGACCTCTCCATTAGGCACTCTGTGTCAAGTCTCTTCTCTAAAAGCAACAAAGATGATCCAGTGGACTTTTTTTTTTTTTCCAACTAGATTATCATTAGATGGAAACTTGTAGTACTTTTAGTTTGTATTTGCAAACAATGTACTTGCAGTTCTTAACACTTTTTTTTCTCTAATACCCAGGTTTGGGCATTTGTTTTGTCTCACATCTGAAATGTCTGCTCTGACTTAATATCCCTACTTAATGTTTTCAAGACAGATGAAGACTGTCATGAGTATTCATTTCCTTAACTCCTGCAGCCAACCCAGATAAGAGTTGCCTCTTTGGGCTAGTTGGAAAGGCTATGAAACTTTGTGCTAAGACAAAAATTAGGTTAAGAATTAACCTGTTTTGAAGGTCCCAAGAGGCACTCTAAAGCCTGTAACATTGCTGTTCAATTAGATTCTAGGAGTGTTTACTCAGCCTACTGCCAGAAAGCCTGGATGCCAGGGCTGGATAGGCTAGAGCTGATGCTGTAATGACTAGTTAGACCAGATCTGTAATGCCACTGCAGTATGGAGTACCTACCTGCCTTTATGACAGGATAGAGAACCCTTAGGCCAAAGAAGGCACAAAGGGACTGCAGTTTGGAAGCACTTTGCAGGATTTCCTTTAGAAGAGCAGTAACTGTGGCTGGCACAACTTAGGTTCTTAAGATGTAGGTGAATGGCAGAGATCAAAGAGAAATATTGTGCAGACTCACTGCATGAGTGAGAACACTTGTAAATGGGACAGGATTAAGCAAAACTGAATTAAGATTACTTCAGTGATGAACATGTGTCTATATAAGGACTTCATTCAACTCACCTCTGTTGTTGACTCATTAGTTATTTTGAATGTCCCTGTGCAGAGACCCAGAGAAATGATTCTACCCTTCTGCATTTAAAATTAAAAATAATTGTGAATTGCCCCAAAGTTCATCTTAAGCAGGAGTGTTGTATTCCATTATAATTTGTATTTTGTGGATTAAAAACTGTTCCTTGGGTTAAATTTAACTGTATGTCTTCTCTCATTCTACGTAAGCAGGTCTTTTCTTAGCTTGTAACTGTGCAGAGTCTTGTACAGCCTAAAAGAGGTAATAGAAACCGCCTAGTCTGGTATGCAAAAATCGGCAGCGCTGGTAATTTTCTCAGTACAAGTGAGCAATCACGTCTATTGAAGGAATACTACTGAAAGGTTAGGGAGCTGGTGAGCAGGGTTCTGTCTGATCCCCAAATACTCCTCTCCTTTTCTAGCAGAGTGTGGGTCTGTTGGAGAGCATCTGCACCTTGTAAGTGCATATTTTAAAATACAACCTGAGATTTGGAAAGTATCAGGGTCTGAGGTCACAGGCATGATAAGTTTTTTGGATGGAAGGGGGCAAATTAGAAACTTCTCCAATGATTTAACATCCTCTGCTATGTAGATGAAATATTAAGCTATTAACTTTGGTGGCAGATACAGAAATGCACATGAGACATATGACTATAGTCCTCAGATGTATATACGTATAGAACTGTCAGCCTGCATTTTATATGTAGGTGTCAACCATATTTATTCATGAATTTAACTCTTCTGTTTATACTCTATTTTCCTATGTACCTTTTTACAGACTCAATAGCTATTACTTTTTAATTCTAGTGGATCTACACTGTAGTGTATTAAGCTTAATAAAAAATTAAAAAGAATTGTAGTTCTTTCAACAGCAATACGTAGCAACTTCTACGTGAGAATAAATACTGCTTTCTCCCATGAATATAATTATTTAAAATAAAAAAAAAAAAGAAAAGAAACATTAGTTTGGACTCACTTAGTAGCAATTATATGTTTAAGAGGTGTAAATAACTTGCTATCCAGACATTACAAATATCCAGGTGCTCTGTATGTGCTGATGACAACAAAATTGAAAAGAAAGACTGTAATAATTCTGACTGGTTTTCTCTGCAGAAGATATTGATTATTTGTGTGTGGTGAGAGATTTGGAAAATTCAATTAAAGGAGTTGTGCAAAGGTTTCATAAATTTTCCTTGTACAGCGTGTACACAGACATTGTTGCGTATTAAATCAATGCAGCACTTCACAATATATTTTCTTTGAAACATAAAAATAAATAACATTTAAACAGTTCTGCTTACTACAGAAACAAATTTTATTTTCTGTGAAGCATTTAGTCATGTGCTATCACTGACTCATACACATTTGCCAGCTGTAACAAATTTTATAGACGTTTTCTCCAGAGACATAGCTCATATACTATGAATTTTTAAATGAGCAAATGGTGAAGAAGGGATGTCAGCAATATAAAAATTGATCAGTTAAAAGATAAAAGCATAAGTAAAGAGATTTGTATGGTAGTCTTAATAGGTTTTATTAAATAAAAATACTATAAAAAGACAGTAATGAATAGACTGAAGCTTTTAACTGTGGTTGAGGTGGAGAAAAATTATTCTGGCACGTTTAGTAGAAGATTGGTTTTATATCACCTGACAGGTGAACATTTTTTTTCTCTCTGCTTTTTAGATCTGTAAATGTTTTAGAGCAGTCAAACTTGGGAAAAAAATGGCAATGGAAGTAGGAGGGGAAAGGAAACTTGGGAAGATTCTGTCCTTTTACTGCTTTTGGGGGCTGGGTAGGAGCAGGAGACATGGGACAAAGGACAGCAAGGCTTCTATCAACCCACCCCAACGGTGGGGGAGGTTTCTGGTGATTATCCAGCTGCTACATTACACTGTTCAAACCCCAAAACAATGTGCTGTTGAGGAGGAGAGGGCAAGGGTGGGCTGGTAGAGCCGGTCCTGCGCCTGGCTAGGGTTTGTGCCACAGTCAGCTGCAGCCTGTGCTGGTCTTTCTGGTCACCTGTGTAGATCCCTTCCTTTCTCCTAGCTACTGTGGTCACACAGATTTTCATCTGTAAGTTTTCCTAATGTTTGTTCTCTTTGCCTTAATGTATTTGAACGTAATCAAGAGTTCTGCATGTGAAGAGAGAGAGAGAAGGGTTTGGGTGTCTTTTATTTTGGTTTGGTTTTGAGCAACTCATTATCCTCATTAGCGCACACACACAAGCCTAATCAAACTGCCGTGACAAGCATTTTAAGCTTTTTGGAGCATCTGGGTAGTAAATCATATTTTAGGTTGACTATTTGAATATCTAAATCTTAATGTCATCTGTATAAATATGAATGCTATGTCAAAATGTGCAAGCATGGGATATATTTGGAAAGAAACACCAATTAATGATGATGTTTTATATGCATCTAGGCAGCTTAAACTTTTTTGTCAAGACAGCTTCTCAAAGTGAAATGCAGATATTGGCATGGTTCCTTTAGTGTGTATGGTTGGTTTGTTTGTTGTTTAAGTAAGTACTACATAGTGGAATGCTGCAATTAGTAAGTAAAGGGTTCATAAAGACTTCTTAATTAGGAAGTTGCATTTAGCACAAAGAAACCAAAGAACAGCAGCTTGTAGTTAAATCTCAGTCTTCCTCTGTCAGTTGTTATACAAGACTGGACAGTTTCCTATTTTAAGCAGTAGTTAGTTACTGGTAGCTTTTTAATGATAATTTGTGACCAAGTTTAGGACAGAATTTCTGGCTTAGTCTGGATCAGCTCCATGTAATGCTACAGGCACCTCACGTTAGATCCACAGATGGGACTTGGGCATCACATCACGTTATATATGGGAAGTGTGTGACATCTAAGAAATCACAGCACGTCAATTGAGGAAAATGAGAAAATGAGGAGAATTCCCCCCTGTGCCTTTGGTGGCTTAGGTTCCTCTCACCATGTAGGTTTCCATGCAGCCCTTATCCTTACAGAAGTCTTTCTGTCTTAAAAGCCCCTGTAAAATATCTAGTTGTTGTTCTCAATATGGATAACATAGAGCAAATAATTCTGAATTGTCTCTTACCCTTTTGTGGTGGTAGAGTCAAAATGAAGTATGAACAGTCAGCAGACACTAAGTTTACTGAGATCAGAGCTGATCATCTGCTGCAGAAGGCCATTCAGAAATCTTGACACTCAGAGGCACCTGCTTTCAGACCCTTTCCCCTTATGTTCTCATTCCCTGAGTTCCTTTCTACTCTCATGCACTTTTTTTTCTACTTCTTCCAGCCATCTGCTCAAGCCATCACCCCAGCCCTGCCCTCTTTGTGCTAAGGGAATGGTCAGCAGGGCTCAGGTATATTTGCCTCTCTTTTGCCATCACCTCAGAGGTCTCGGGGATGGTTCTCCCTCTTACAGTGTCCTTGATAAAGGTCTGCTGCTACAGTCCTTATGGATTTTTTTATTATTACTAGCAAAAAAAGAAGGATCAGCTTTTAATACTGGTAACACATAGTCTGCTTTGTGATCTTTGGTAACGATTTAGCATATGTGCATACATTCGCAAGTAATTAAGACAATCTCCTAAATTACTGTTGCTCAGCTGGGACACTGCAACTACGTGAAGGGGGTTCTGTTAAACCATTGCAGTAGTTTCATTCATATTAGTGTGGGGATTTTCACAAATTCTGTATAAATACCATTGTTCTGTTCATGAAAACTGATTTTCTTCCTCCACAGAGTATGTTCAGACTGCCAGTAGCTCTGCATTCCTTAAGCTGCTCCTTGACTGAGGTACGTAGCCTCACAGCCTGTTGTATGACTTCTCCAGCTGCCATGTACAGCTAGTGTAATTGTAAAGACTGAGGTACTCATTTAAAGCATTTGCAGACTGATGCAATATGTAGGCCTGTAGTCAAGGCTGTAATAGCTTGATGGGAAAACAGTTGTTACTGTGCATGTGGTATCTCTTATTACTGGTTTGTTAAGCAAAATGACATACATTGAATTTATAGAAAAATCTATCCCGCTCTAAAACATCTGATAGTATTTCTCCATGTCAACACTGTCAGTTTTTAACTGGATGTTTCTTCAAGAACGGCAATTCAGCTGTAACACATGTAACCAAAGTAAGAAAATTTATGTTCTACAGCAGATTATAACTTCATAAATACCATGACTGATTCCTTAGAATTCTCCACAGAAGTCCGCCTATTGCAGCCCTATTGATGCTGTTAAAGGCAAGGTACTTCCGGCCCCTGAGCTCAGGGGCTCCACTTTCCTGCAAAGCTGCTGTCACTTTCTTATTAATGCAAAGACAGACTCCTCAGCTTAAGTGCTCACAGGCTGTAGGCAGCCACCCAGAACAACCCAGCCAGCCAAGGCCCCTCCAAGCAGTACTCTTTTCCAAGAGAGGACAGTGGGCTGCAGGGCAGGTGGCCTGGTTTAAAGGCAGCAGCAGCAGCCTGCTTCCAACTACCAGCTTCCCCAGGAGCGTCTCGCGTTCCTGTCCCATCACTGCACGTGTAGTAAGTGCAGCATCTCAGACAGGCTATACTTGCTGCCTGTGCACAAAATCAAAATGCACAATGTGGATGGATACAGAAGCTCTGAGAAGAGCAGCCTAAGTAATACTCTGTTAAGGACCAGTGCATATCAAAAGTACTGAGCTAGGGATGAAGCAATCCCATCCAAATATACTGAATCATGGACCATGGTCTGTCTAGTGAGAAAGTTAAAGGAATCATTAGTGTAGAGAATAAGCTTTTTGAAAGTAAAATGTCATTTTCCCCCCTTCCATTTGTTTTGTCTAATGAGTCCCAACTGGATTTGAGCATGAGGCTGCTCAGCAGTAGCAAGATGGAGTGGTTTTGGCTTTTGATTGCTGTTAGTTTTTGAATGTCCAGGAACAGAATATTCAGGTCTGAGGGAGGGGTATGGGAAAGGGGCATAATGGAAAACCTGGCTACCCTCAAATTTCAGTCGTCATAATTTTGGACATAGGCATCTAGAGGTGTAATTGGGCACACAAATTTACACAGATCCCTTGTAAAACTCATGGTAAATTCCTCATTCTGTGAACACTTTAATTCAAGCCACTGTATCACCTTTCTTAGCATTCCCAGAGCAGAAAGCATAAAACAATATACAAACAGACACCTCAAGACACGTTTTATGGGTGTTTAAATTCTTCTTCCTTTGGCTGCTTGTCTTTGTTCCAGTGCTGTAAGAAAAAGCCCACTTAGACTGACCTTGTCTATCATCCAGTATTACCTGTGCATGAGAAAACTGGCTGCTCACATTTCATAAATTGTAGTGAGCCAAATAAGCATCCAAAGATAAAAATATCTGCAGCTTTTATCAATTCCCTTTATAGTGTGAGAACATGCCTCCTCCTTCTAGAGGAGGAAGTTAAAGCATTCTATGTGTTTGTCATTTTGGATTATGTATAAGTATACCTACAGTCTTTATAAGCTGAATTAACTGAGGCAGATACATTTTGTTTCTCAATGAAGGTTAAATTTTGTTTTGTAATCACAACTAACCTAACAGCAAAGAAAGCTTAAGAAAACTGTTTTGACTACAGGCTAACATTACCCTAATACTTATTAGCTTCTTATGCCAGTAATTTCTGTACTCCTTATTCCTTCCAAACCAACAAACCCACCATCCCCATCAAGCCCAGCTTGATCCCAGTGGCCATCTCCCTTCATGGCACAGTAGCACGCCTGGAATTTAAAGGCTGGGAACAAAGTAGTTGAGGGATGGAAACCCAGTGCAGGAGAGCAGAGCTAATGTCCCCTTTTGCAGCTCACTTTCTCCACTCAGCATAATTTATAAGTCTGACAAAATGCAGAAAGTGACCTTTCTATGGTAAAATACCTAATAATCAGCTTAACTAATTTCAAACCTTATACTGGCTTATTAGTTTGAGCTAAACTCATGCTGATCACAGCTACAAGACTTCAATTTGAGCTAGCTCACAGAGCTCTCATGTCACTATGTCCATGTCCTTAAGAATGGATGGTATTTTCCAGTCAGCAAATATATAGTTTGCAGCATAAGCCCCCAAAAAGATGCATTTACTTGTTCCTGTTTTCTCTGTCTACACCGAAGTGTGACTAACATTGTAAAGCTCTTTTCTTATTGTTTAAAAACAATGACTACGTGATAGCTAAAAATCTTTTAGCAATTATCTATGCAACTTTTTCTAAAGATAAATAAAGCACTTCCTTTAACAGCTCAAAATGTTACTGCAGTTTAGGGGAGACAATCTGTATTACTGTGTTACCTTAGGGGGTGGGGGGAAGGGAGCATGCACACATTTTTTTTTTTTTTTTTTAATATAGCAAGGCTAGTCCTGGGCTGGCCTAACTGTGAACAGCTCATACAGATGATTCCCCTGTTGTCTAATTGCTATTTATTTTAGTCATTCCTTATTTCCACACAGGCATCATGTGAAAAATGCATTCCACATCAACCCAAAGTTGTACATCTGCTTGATTGTACTTAAAAGGAGAGAAGAAATGACTGTAAACCTATCTCCCCAGCAAATACCAGCAGTTAGGGATTGCTCATTGCACTAGGCAGGTGCACATCTAGATAAAATTTCTGGCATCTATTTAAACTTAACAATGTGCACAATCAGATAATCTCAATGTAAATAATACACTTCTTCATGGTTGTTTTATCCAAGTGTGGTACTAAATGCTGATTTAGATTTACTGCTGCATGGAATATAAACTTTTTTTTTTTAATGCTCTTACAGCAAATATATAATACTTGTATGTTGCTTCGGTTTAAAAAAAAAAAAAAAAAAAAGGTAACAGGGTCTCCCCCCTGCAAGAACTGGGTAAGAAGAAACTATGTCAAAAGATGAACATTGATCGGCTCCCAGGCCTTTAGTAAGAGATGTAAGATTTCACAGGAATAACGTGTTCTAGGAGATGGTTCCTTGCCAGGGAGAGGACTCATTTAATCACTTCATTCCACCCAAAAGCTAGCAAAGATGCCAGTTTGGCAGCAAACTCTTTTAAAAATTTACACTATTTGACAGATGACTCTTGCAACTTTTGATCACAAACATTTAAAAAAAAAATACAGGAAGCTATGAGGTAATAATTATTCTGATTACTGAACACAATTCACTTATAAACAGGCAATTTGGATCTGTGGATACTACAGTTAAGATATATTTGTAATCTATGAAAATGTTTCCACCAAAATCAAACCAAGACATACATAAAGGTATTGGATTCAAGTCACAGTGTTTAAACACAGGGATTTAACAACATTTACTATTTAAGTCAGTGGTTCAGTTTATATAAGGGAAGAAGTATTACAAAATGGTTTCTTGGCTCTGAATTTTTCATTATCCTCAAAACCCAACTGGATATGATGTTTCCCAAGTTGTATTAGGTGCAGGCTTGCTCATATTAAAATACTGCAGTTATAGAGACTTCTTTTGAGATTTAGAGTGATCTGCAAAATTGAGTGATACACAACTTTTTTTTTTTTTTTTTGCTACCATGGAAAACTAGTGTGACCCATCCAAATAAACTGACTTTTTTACAGCTCAAGTTCTGAGAATCAAAATAACTGTGTTCTAGTATGTAGGTTAAACATGTATGTACTCAAGTTTAGAGACTTTTTAATTAATAAAAATATTTTTCTACTTGAATACATGTGCAGGCTGATGGATAAAATAGTGTTTGAAGGGAATTGTATCAGTTACTCCGCTTCTACATCATTCTTAAGCTGTGTTGTTGCTTGTTGCTTTTTGTTACATGCATAAAATTCACCAGATTGCTTTGTATGATAACAGAGGATTAGTTAAAATGAACCAGTAATAGTTTACATAACCTGATTATAACCTCAGTATCTGAAAAATGAAGAATTATTGCTCTAAGAGCCTGTGCATGAACTGCAAGCTGTGTGCCATTCTAAATAGTACAGGAGCTGAAGGTATTCTGTGTAGTGTTGCAAGAAGAAAATATTCTCTTCCACAGAGAATAACAGTAAAAGGTGACAATCAGCTACAGCAGTAATTTATACCATGATAACAGTATGAGACTAAAGTTTGGTGTTTAAGCATTTTTAGGGAAATGGGCAATACAGGGTTTAATATGAAGATTCTGCTGCAAATACTACATACATGCCTTTAATGCTATTTAAGCAGTTACTGTTTCTTTGACCTCTTGGTGTACTAGGCTTTTGCCTTTCAGAAACAGCTGGGTCTGTTAAGACCCATTTCCCAGTTCCACACAAGGTAGATCATATGACTCTCACTTTATCACCCTTGGAGGCCATCTCAAGGACAAAGAAAAGAGATACGCTCAAAACTAATGTTTTTATATGGGTAGGAAGCATTCTGAAATGATCTTGTGACGAACACAAGAGAACAGACTAATTAAAACGTGAAGCTATTTGCTTCCTTCCCTTTGGTTTACTGTTTCACACTTTATTTCATTGGACGTAGAGGCTCTTCAAGCTCTCTTAACTTTTGGCAGTATTTCACCAAGTTGTGTTTGAATGGAATGCTGTATGTTTTATTTTTCAGAGCCTCTGGAGACAAAGATTCCTATTTATGTGCCTTAATATACATAAGTGCCCACTTGGCCCGCGCTTTCCAAAAAGAAAGAAAGTATTGTGAATAGAGAATCTTGCATGCCATGATTATAGACACCCTCAGAAAAATTCTAAATGCTTGTGAAAATATTTAAGTTTTGTTTTACATTACAGTAAACTGTTATACAGTAGGTAAATTGCATTCTCCATGTGTAAAGCTACAGTCACTATTCAAGAATGCCTTTGCTTTTGTCTTAGCTATCAAGGTTGTAATGGTGGCTGTGACTACTTTTTTACAACAAAAGAAACTGGAAAAATTGAAGGAATACAGGCTCACCTTGTAGATACTTCTTTACAGTATTCATAATTTCACCATTTGGAAGTTTGCAGAACAGCTGATTCGCACACTCACAGTTACACTGCACAGTGACAGCCCTAGACTATGCTAATGCAAATGACAGTTTGGTATGTTGCAGAGAGCAATGAGGTCAGGCTATATAAGTCTTTAAACAAAGCTGGTTAGTTTGGTTTATTTTTTTTTTTTGTAATACATAGCCTATCATTTTTCCCAGTTCTGACACAGCTTCTTAATTATACTGACATGAATTGCTTTGTGATTTCTTTTCTTACTGCATGCTTTATGTAGATAATTAGTCAGTCAGTTTGTATTCTCTGAACTATTGGTATCATTGGCTTTAAGGTATAGAGGGAGAAACAGTGCAGTTGGCTGCAATTTAGTCTGCAACTTAATCTATGCAATATGGGGGGGGTTTTTTTGAAGAGCCTAGTACTGCTTTCAAACTGTGATGTAGTACTTCAGCTTTTATTCCAGTAGAACTACATTCTTTTGGATATGACAATTGTTGGTGTCTATCTCCCAGATAACCTGCCAAAATAAAAGCTCTTTTTCTTGATACATTAACACTGAAATCTAACCCTGCTGAAATACATCAAGCTTCACTTTTATTGTTTATTGAATAGCTGTTAAAACAAGTGATAGGCTTTCCTCATTTTGTTCAAAACAGTTGTCGAGCATCACGTAAGACTAATATATGTTAAATCACAGATCTGCAGTGAAGGAAGAAATGTGTTCCAACACTCCACATAACACAAGAACCTTCCCAAATGCAAGGGCCTCTAGTTCTGCTCTCAGCACCAACCTCCATGCCTTTCTATGGCTTACGTTATTCTTCAGCATTCTCCAAGTAATGGTACTGCATAGAATGTCACATTATAGTATAAAAATAACTTTCATAACTTGGACAGATGCCTCAGATGAAGCTGCTACAGAACTGCTGTCCTTACATGCTACAGAACTCGAAGCCATCTTGTGGCTGATGGTACAGATCCCCAACCAGTGATCTTGAATGTTAAATTTTCTTCCCTACAGGATGTGGTTGAAGAAACTGTTCAGTTAGATCATAACCTCCAAAGAATTACTCCAACTGCTACACAGCCTTGTGCAGTGGCTTTGCTGATCTGCAACATATTTTATGAGAGAATAATGGAGGACAGTGACAGACTGTACAAGACAATTTATGCCATAAAACAATTCAGCAAGACAAACTCCATGGTAAAGAGTCACTGTTTAACCTACGCAACTTTGAATTGCTTATACCTTTTATGCTGGGAAATGTGTAAACTTAATGCAAACAAAACATTTGCTGTTTTGCTAAAATACCCTGCTGTATCAGCACAAGTTCAAAATTTGGTCCTTTATTAGATATTTTAAGTTTGCAAACGATAACAAAAGTATTACAATTCTGAAGAAAACTCACCAAATAACACTTCCAAGCGCTCTGTGAAATACTTCATCTTTAAAACAGTCTTTAATCACTTTGTCTTTAAGTGTGCATAATGTTTCCTGATTTTCATTACATCACTCAAACTGCTTGATGTAACACAATTCATCTGCAACACCAGACACGATTCACTGAAAATATTCTGTCCTTTTACAGTTTAGTCCTTGATCTTCACAAATTAACTAACTCATTTTCTTCTGACTTCTACTACTTTTTGAGTCCCACAATATAACAACATTAAAATACATCCAAAAGAATACGAAGTGTAAGCAAGAAATAATGGTCACAGATACGGGGAACAAATCTGGTAACCTCTGTGGAGGACTTGTTGTAGCACTCAGTAAAGTCAGGATGCCCATCACAGTTACTGAAAGAAGAAACTGTAAGATAAAGAATGATATACTAGTTAGTGTTGATGTAACAGCTAAAGAGTAGGCAGTTATTTTCATTGCTAGGGTGCCCTGTATTCTTAATTCTACAGACAGATGACATTGCAGAAATATTACAGCTCCCCTCTACACTGACATAGCATGGCTTTGCCCATATGAAACCTTATAAAAAATTATGGACATTAAACTGGTTTATATAAGTATTTCAGTATTATGAAGAGTTACAAGTAAGAGCTATGAAGAATTAAAGTTACTTACCAGCCTCTTAACAATCTTTGGAAATGACTTAAACCAAGAAACATATCCCTTGAGAGAAAGGGAAAACGATTTCAGCTGCAAGTCCTCTGCTGAAGTCTTTTCAAATATCGAAAAGGAAGTCACACAAGCTGAGAGAAATGCCAGTGTTGTCACAGTATAGGCCAACAGGAGGCCATCTTTTAGTAGCAGAGGCAACAGGCTGTTAAAACAGAATTGCCCACAGAAGTGAGTTTACATTCCAAGCTGTATTTCAAAGAAAGTAAGAGAGAAAAAAAAAAAATAAAGAATGCGTTTCTACTATCTAGACTCAGGAAAGAATACTATTTTAAAAGTGAATAGTGTCTGACTCACCTGAAGGTTGATACAAGCAGAAACCATGTAGCCATAAAAGGAATTTCATTTATGATTAAGCAGACCGGTCTGAAACAAAAATAGAAAAATAAATAGCTGAACGCTGAAGTGACAGCATTTTGTTATCTCAACCTTTTACGTGGCTGCTACGCTCTCCCATTCCTCACTAAGACATGCCTGTTCCCCGCTGGCGAGGGGAAAACGCCCAAAGTGCTGTAGCCTCTGCTGGGACTCCTTCCCGCTGCATCACGCTGAACCTTGACACACAAACGTTTGCCCTGCGTTTGGGTTTGCAGCATGAAATCACTTGACAGAATACTTGTATTGCCCCCCACTAGCATGCAGGGGCAGCCAAGCTGGGGCCCACTCCATGCAAAAGTTGTTGTTGGCTTTGGGAGCATCAATACCGTGATCCCTAAACGATGCCTACAGAAATACCAATAGCTTTCTAACTCCCAGTGCAACCTTCCTTTCGGCATGGAAGAGAAACATTAAGAATTCTACCTCTCCATTTCTTTCTTTTTCAAACATTACTTTCACATACAGACAAGACATCCAAGGAAGAGAGCAGGCCTTGCTGACTGAAGATATCCCCTGTCTGTCCCTGCTGACTTTCCTTTTGGGCAAGCTATGGGAAATACATGCTTACAGGAGTAAGTATGTAAGTTTGTAATAACGAAAGGAGAGAAAGCTCCTTTGCCGTCAACATAAAGGAGGTACGAATCGCCTAATTCAACTTATCATCCTGCTCCAGCCTTGCTGGGCAGCTAAGTACATTTCTTTGCTGTCTATGGCAGCATCACCTTAACAAACAATCTGTCCCTGGACTGCAAAATACATTCTGTGCTACCACACCATACTCTAGTAAATCCACACTTAGAACATTGGCCTGTAAGGGTAAGAGAAGGAATAGAAGCAAGCATGGCTATATTTATATACTCCTTTCATTTACAAGTTACTCAGGAAGGCCAGTGCAGTGTAGAGCTTTTAAAATCAGATATATTTGTAAGTGATAAAGCAGCATGCAATAACAAGTTGAAGAAAACAAGATCAGAACATACATACAGAAAAAGAATATACTTACATTGACACTAGAAGAATAGATTTTTCATGTACTTGAAAGGAGAACAGGAAGAACGACAACGCACAACTAACCTTAGAAAAGGGAATCAGAGATACTAATGTTCTTGACCGCAACACAAAGCACTGTTTTATTTTATCAGCTGCCCTGGATTTTATATGAGTGTACTGAGTAAGTTTAACAGGTAACAGAAAAATTAGATCATTTATCTACCTCTTGTACAATCTAGAATTACAGAGCTGCTTCTGAAACCACCTATACATATGGAAAATAAATTGTTTGAAAGTTCACCCAGAATTATTCAGAAAACATTTCACATAAACAGACCCCAATATTGCTTACTTACGAGATTATCCCCGCTGAAGTACACAAATATTCACATACATAAGCATCAGCAGATTTAAGCCACAGTGAGAACTACCCAGCGTTTTGAAGTTAAATTCTGTTAATCACCATCAGAAACAGTCAATATCTCAAACAAACAGTCATTTTTTCCCTAAATAAAAGACACATCATGAAACATAAACCAATTCTTAAAAAGGCTAAAATGCTAGTTGTAACAAATGTTGTGATAAACTCTCAGGCAGCACTTACATAAAATGAAAAATATAAATTATTTGATAACTCTGAAACCTTAGCACTATCTTCCTATAATTTTGATTTCAAAGGGAACTGATTTTGCATTTAAGCAATGTTAATGTGTCTAAATTTACATTCAATGATGAAGTGAAAAAGCAAACATTTCAGTAAAATAGCGTGATTCTCTTTTCAAACCACTAATGAGCTTACAATGCCCATCGTGGCAATTTTTATTGAATTTTACAGCCAATATCTTAAGAGTAACCATCACTTTGCAAACACAATAAAATAGAAGAGAAATTTCAACTCCATTCAAAGTTTTGTTGTGTATGGAATCTTCTAAAGACTCTTCAGAGGAAACTAATAAAAATACAGCATTAAATAAATAAAATTGAGGCTAAGGAGAAAAATCTAGACCTAAAAGACTAGGTAGGCCTTCCTAGACTATCTCTGATATTCAAGTCTGATAGCAACGAACTTTTAAGCCAATCTCTTCAGCAGAAACAAAATGACATTGAATAGTATATATACCTCTGCACATTGTGGCAATTCGAAGTAGGACTGTTTGTCACATACCAGCGCTCAGTGGTGGATTTAAAATAAGGAACAATTAAAAATATACACTTACCAAAGCAAACTTAAATCCTCTCAGAGATGGCTCAAGGGTCAGTTTTACACAAGTAGGAAGCAGGCTCAGAAACGTTACAGCAAAACTGAGGAATTGCATAAGAAAAACGATTTATCCTTTAATATATGAATATCTACATAAATATTACATAGAATTTTAAAACTTAAATTTTCAAATTTCAGAATTATAAGTTAGGAATTTAATGCTAATTTTCAAACACACAAAATCACTAAGCCTCAAACACAAGAGAGCAGCACTTAATAGTCTTCACTGACATGAGTGGTTTTGAAAAAGGAATAACAACTATGTAGCTTAAATCACTGTATAAACAAGCAAAAAATTTGGAATTGTCAGTCTTAAGAATATCTTAAAGGGAAATTTTATCACTTGGAAGAAAAACACAGTGTAAGAAAAAATATTTTTCAGGATTTTAAACATCACTTCTCATAATTCTTGGAAAAAAGTACTGATCCTGCAAAAATTAATGCAAATAAACAGCTAACACTTCAGTTATGCCTTACCTGAGTTTAAGCTGAGTTTGAGGTGATACAATATTCTTTATCTTTATAAGGACGTTTAGACTGCACCAAATATTGGCTACTTTATCCTGGGGAGGGGGGGAAAACAAACATTTTAACTTATGCTTGTGACAATAACAGGGATGAGGGATTGTTGGTTTTTTACTATCATACTGCAAGATGACACTTGCAGATATACATCATATTCTGAGATGTAACTCAATTTACATCAGTCTAATCTTCATTCAAACATGGAAAATTAAAAGAAACTGGATTAAAACATATATTAAAATAACTAAGAAATAGTTCTTCAAGAGACTATGTTTTGACTCATAAGACCAAACATTTCATGAAAATGAGGTCTGAAATCCTCTGTGCCTACAAAATTTCTGATTAAGTGATGGCATATGTTAATTTTTTTTTTTCAAATGTGAAGACATTCTATATATCGTCACATTTCATTACATACCTGAATGTATTTAGCTATGCTTACTGCTTGCTAGCAATGACAGAGTTAACTACTAATAAATCAAGAAGTCTAAAGACATTAGCAGTTGTGCTAGGATCACTTTCAAAATTAAATTTGTAACCACAGCTATCATGCTCATGAAACTCATCCCTAAACAGCTGCTTGAATCACAGCTGTGTAGACATAACAGCAAGAAAGCTACTACCACTAGCAACTGAGCCATCTTCTTCATGTGCTTACTAGCAATATAGAGTATGCACTTCAAATTTGTTGAGGATTACAAGTGAACAGGGGGTTTGGCAGCACCAGTAAACATACAAGATGCCTACTTAATAGCCAATACGATTTTACAACCATCAGCATTTGTTACTGCTTCTGTATATGGGAACCAATTCAAAGAACCTGTTACATGCACCCCAGTATAAATTTACTGTGCATTGCTTACGTGGACAATTTCTCATTTCATCTATATTAGCATCCAGTAAGTCACTCCCCTACTCCATCAGAAAATGTTTGGACTAATATTAGACTAAATCCTTAGGCACTTTCAGACTCATCCATTCTTGTCATTTACAGATTTTATTTTTTTAAACTTTGCACTGGATAAAAAGTACCATGATCAAAAATATTTATTTATGAATTTCAGTCCATACTCAAGCAATATTGTCATTGCTGGGAAGGGAAGGAGTTGTTTTTTTTTTTTTAATAAAATACTAGAGGCTACATTCTGAAAACACTTCTCTACAGCAGCCTAAATAAAATGCTGCCTTTGGTACATCAGCATCAACTCTTCAGGGAAACAAGTGCCATTTGTGACATTCACATCTAAAGAAGATTAAAACAAAATTTAAGATTCAGCAAACTATCTAAATATTTGCTTCAATCCTGGTGAACTCAAGCACTGAAAATTTAAAGCTTCATTTTCTGGAAAAATTTGAAGTTGAGAATCTGCTTTTAAAAGGGATATTATTAAGACTCGTCCTGATTGAACAAAATACCTACAAGTCACTTTTACTTGGAAAAAGAAATATCCTTTCTTTTATGAGACTCCTGTGTCAGTAGTGTTAGGTAGATGAATAACTGCTTTCCTGGATTAGGGCTCCAGCACTCAGCATGCAAATGTCAATAATCTGGGAACAAGTACAAGCAGAACTGGTCTAAAATTCTTAGAAAATATTGTAGAAACTTGTAGTGAAAACAGATACAAGCTAGGTCAAAAAGGACTCTCTAAGCTGCACCTGAAAAACTTTTTTTTTTTTTTAACCTTGTTGAAAAAAGCTGAGCAGAACCAAGAGACAGACACTGAAGCTGTTAACTTTTAAGGTTATATCTTCTGACACTGTCAATTACTATGGAATCTATTTCAACGGAAAAATGTATGGATTGAAGTATGAGTTTGATGATGGGATAAGTGTTGTCTACTCATATAATATCCTGGAAGATGCCAGCTGAGCTGGGGTTAAATACTGGATTAAATAACTGGCAAGAAATGACTGCTGAAGAAGGCATCTCAAATTACTAGTTCTGTGGTGTGCCTCCCCACATGAAATCTGTAAAGGTCATGATGGAGGTTTCTCAAGGGATCTAAGAATACAGAACATTTACAGGAGGGAGGGAGGGAGGGAGGGGGGAGAAGAAAACATGCATGCCTCAAACAAGCCTCGATCAATGGGAAAGAGTCTTCTGAGTACTTGCATGATTTGTTCCATGTCTGTGCAGAATGGGAGCCAGCAGAGAGCAAAAGAAGCCACCACTGTCCCAGCTATTTTAATAAACAATATTAATCTGCAATTAAAAAAAAAAAAGCTTTCATCAGAAAAGATAAATCCAGCTACTTGTAACAAAAGTCAATTTCTTAGTTTAGAACGTAAAGCTTTTTTTTTTTTTTCCTCAACAGGTACAAAACTGAAGGTAGCAAATCTGAGCAAAACAGCTACCAATTCCACAGAAAAAATTCATCTCCCCCAGATTAGCGCGAAGGACTCCATCAGAACTGTAACAGAGCTACTGCTGTCAGGCTAATTTGGTTGCCCACTGTAGCCCCCAATTCATTTAGATTACAGAATGAAGAGTGCTGAGAAAGGATGTCTTAATGTATTTTGCTGTCTGTTCAGCATACTAAAAAGTACGCTTACTTTGCCTGGGAGGAAAACATTTTAACAATATGGATATCTTCCACTGGAAGTTAATTCAGAAATGACCACATGCAAATAAGATGAACCACATTCTCAATGCTAGGCTGCCTGGCTGTATTCTTGAGCAAGATAAAATGGTTTAAAAATCACTTACCCCTTTCCTTTCAGTCCCTTCTTGAAGCACTTTCCAAGTAAATAGCAAAAGAAGGGCAGAGAATGGTAGAGTTCCATTTGCTTATAATTTAAAGCCAAGCAAAATGACACTGAACCCAAAAGGTCCCAGTCATAAGACAAATAAAGTACACCCCACAAAGCAAAGCCAAGGCTCACTGAGTTATATATGTTTTTTTTATGTCAAGGACATGATAAACAAGAGAAGCAACCTCTTAATACTGGAAGTTAGTGAATAAATGCCCTGTGGGACAAGTATAAAACAGCATGCAAAATATGTTTTTCCAAGTTATTACACTAACAATGCGTCCCTATTTGGGTAGCTGCTGTATCCTCAGAAATTTCCAAATATTTTGTTTTCTCTTTGTCAATATAGATAGCTATGACAACACATTCAGACTGTCTAAGTTGTCTATTGACTTCTTGGGAGCGGTCACAAGTAGTAAAGTTATTCACACAGAGTCCCAGGGCTGGAAGAGACCCCAGGAGACTATGTAGTCCATCTGTCTGCTTTAATACGGTGTCTACTATACCTGTGTCATTCCTGACATAATGTTTGCTGAACCTTTTCTTCAAGATCTTTATGCTGCAGATTCCATGACTTCCATAGGCAATCAATTCCAGCATTTCACTGTCATTATTATTTGAAAGATTTTTCCTTAAATTTAAAACCAAATATTCCCTATGGTAGTTAGTAGCCATTACTTCTTGCCCTATCCAACATAAGTAACAAACACCAGACTGTTGTCTTCCTCTTTGCGTATTTTTACATACTCAAAAACTGTCATCCTGTCCCTTTTCTATCTTACTAGTTTCTCTAAGCTACGATGAAATGCATTCATTCACACCCCCTTTTCTTGTGACTTCTCCAAATGCTCTACACCTTTAAAGAGTCAAAGTCAAAAATATGATTTCAGAATTCCTGAACTGTAACGCAAGTATCCAATAGCATTTATTACTTTTTCCTTCAAAATTGTATTTCTAAGGTACATTATCATCACACACTCTCTTGGAGAAAAACCACAAATTAGTACATTAGTACTGGATTATCAAAACTTGATTTAGGAGATGCTCTGATTTAATATGCCCCTGGGATATTTAAACACCCACATTTATCACAACTCCAGGATTGTGTCCCTCTGCTAGATGGCACTGAGCAGCACAGCACAGAGTAGTAAACAACATCATTTGCTTGTTGATGTGCAAAATAATTGTAAAAACAGAAATCTTATAAAAGAACTACCTGTGAAGGTATCCACCACCATTGATTAGATTAGCTTTGACGACTTAGCTCGTATTAGATGCCTAACTTTTAAATGATTAGACATTAAGTGAAGTGAATCCAATCTCAAGTAATTGCAAAGGCAAGACAGTGTCACATGTTACAGAACCAAACATTTTATATAGCTATGCTTGACACACTTCTCTGCCATCGCAAGATCTAAGACAATTCTCTCTCCAAACACAAATCACAGGAGCACAAGCCATCCATTCTTTTTGCTGTCACAAACCATTGACATTTTCTGCAATAAAGTGACTGACATTAATAAGAGTTTGAGACATTAAAAAAATGCTATTCGTGTTTGGATTGATTTGTCCCACTATCAACTACGTATCTCCAATATATTTCAGGGGTATAGTTTTCTTGAACATCTCTGCTTTGGTGTAGGCAGAAGCCCCACGGATTATTCTAGATACAAAGTCAATCCTTTTCCCAGTTAAAGACAAGTACTGAAGAACAGTGTTATTTCACAAATTGAAATTCCTCTGTTTTCACTACAAATACAAGGATACTGGAAATGTCCATGGTCAATAAGAATTAGGCCTGGATAAAGCAATATACAGAGAGCACTGGAAATCTGGAAGGAAGGATCAAAAAAAGAGAGGGGAAAATAATTATTTATAAATAAGGCAAACATAGCAACTCATGCTACTTCTCTAGTACAAAAAATTGTCCGTCTGTGGTCCATCCTAGGAGTAGGAATCTTTCTCTCTCCAATCTTATGTCAGTAATGTTTTGAGGAGTAAAAATTGATAACAATTTTCTGTAAATAAGAAAACCCTGAAAGGAGACTGGCCTTCCCTTTGCCAGCCAGCTTAAAGATCACCCACACCCATCTTAAACCTTGCACCACTTAACAAAAAAAAAAAAAAAAAAAAAAAAAATTAGACAACTTTTTATTTCAAAATATATGTTTTACCATAAGGAGTACGCAAGACAACAGTTCCCAGATTCCCTCGCGTCATAGCACAAATCTTGTTTTTACTACGCAAGTAATAAATTTGGCAAGAAAAATAATTCAGGAGTTCATGGCTACTAAACTTCAGTGCATCTTGTTATTGAAGGTATTAAAATAATTGCTGTAAAATAAGTTAATGGCTTATTTTAACTGAAAAGTCTTTAATACAAGATATACTGATTGTCATCAATTTTATGTCAACCGACGCCATTGGGATGTTCTATGTTAATTAACATGCAGCCTGTTAAGTTTCTACACTGTTTAACAGTATGTTTCTTTAATTTACACACAGATAACAACAGATACTTGCCTTCTTTTTTGTAGATGTTTCTTTTAAGAAACAACAATATAAAATAACTGCAGGAATATAAACCAGCAAGTCAGCAACAAACACTGAAAAATAAAGATTAACTTTATGTTAGAATCTTCCCACATATCCTACCTTAATGCAAAAAACGTTGTCTGTTTTCATCTGGACTGTGAATCTTTGATCTTCAACTTTGCTTACAGTTTTACCCTATTAACTCCTCAAATCTTGGTTGGATTTGGTATAAAAATCTCAGATTATAACAATTACACCGTGTTTGGGTGAGACTGGCTGCCTACCTTTCTCACGTGGGTTTTGCATCTGTTTCTTAACATGTAAACCTCAGCTTAGTCATTAAACTCAACTGAAATTCGTAAGTCATGCCACTACAGTTTCAGCTGGCTATGCTTTTCCATTTTTTCTTATGTTGCGTTATATGTTCCATCGTATTATTTTAGAGATTGCTCAGGTTTGGAAGTCATACCAGAGCGGATTTTTCTCAAGTGTTTTGTGGAAGAAAAGGGAAAATATAAGCAAATAAACATGATAATATCAAGAAGTTCTTTACATTAGAGTATCCGAGTAGTCTCACTTTAAAGGACAAAGAGAAATATATTGGTCTACAGAATTTGATCTTGTTAACATTTCTATGGCTATCATTTCTGATGCCCCAAAGCTGCTGCTTCCATGTGTTCAGCTGTTTTGGCTTCTGGCACAACCTCAGTCAATAAAGGAGCACACTCTAGTTCCTCACATGCCAAAATGAGAGAGGCATTCTTAATTCTCAAATGAAATCGACTACAACTAAACGCAGTCAAGTTGTTGGATGGCACTGATATTTTGAAGGCAGAGAGGGAATTAAGCTCTCAACTATAGCAATCTCCAATTTATTTTTGTGTGAATGTGAGGTGGTCAGATAGATTAAAATTAGTGATTTGTTTTTGATCACCCACCAATAGCAAATATATGTAACAGGGTCAACAAGAAAACAGAACCAGCAGGTTTGCCCACCTGGAATTATGTAAACTGCTTGCACTTAAATCACCAAGTTAATTCTTGAGTGTTGTCTTAAATGCTTGTCAAATTCTCAGTTTATTTCTATAACCAAGTTTCTGAAAATGTGCAATTATTCCAAGAAGAAAAGCATAATTCGCCCTTTTTGGGTCAGGGGCTTTAAAAGAAAATGTTTAAATATGTAAGTTTTTCTATATGATGATCATTTTGCAGGCTCGAGCCACAGTTAAACAAATGTACCCAAGGCATTAGCCGAACAAACACACCAACACTTAATGCAAAGGTGCAACACCAACAGCTGACATTCAGCATTCCGAGTTATTTTAATGCATTATTTTAATGGCTATTGTTGAAAGAATGTTTATCAGTTCACCTAGATTATACATCAATGCTATGTCAAGTGAGTTGTTTTCAACATTAATAAAGAACATTTCAAGGGCAATTTAGTTATAGTGATTTTTTTTTGTTTGCTTCAATCCAATCAATTATTAGCAACCAGATTGAGAGGTTTGTGAACTACAGAAGCGCTACAGGTGAACATCACATTCACAGAATTACAGAATGGTTGAGGTTGGAAGGGACCTCTGGAGATCATTCTGCCACTGTAATCAGTAAAAAAGGTACTTGCCCAGTATAAAGCATTTTATAGAACTCTACCATCATGTGACGCAAAGGACAAATTTAAAATGAAAGAAAATAACAGCAGCGCAATTTGGCATCTGTCATTGCCCAGAGAACAAGAGTTCATTGGCTACATCATTCGTTGTTCTACAGATACAGCTACTGAATTAAATTATTTACATTTTTTCTGCACTTGTTTTATCCTTTTCATTGTACAGGCAGATCAAAATAGTCAAGTGGTCAGAAAACTGACAGAATTAAAATGAGTTTCAGTATAAAACTGGTAAAATATATTTTTACTTTTCTGTAAATACAATTTTTTTTCCGGAAACAGGTTAGCATTTGATAAAAATGACATCTTTAAAAACATCAAATATCTCCCCCTTTCAGATAAGGTATAAAAGTTCCTAATAAAGATCTCTGAGACCCCAAGAGCCTATTAAGTAAAGTCAGTGAAAGCCAGCTGATTTGCCAAGTAATTTTAGAATAAAAGCCAAGCTAAACTACAAATAAAATTTGTAACTACCAGAATGGAAAAAAAAAACTGTGTGTAGGCTACCAAGAAGTAGTTTCATTTTACAGTTCTTACTAAACCAGTCCAGTTGAAAAAAAATCTCTGTACATTTATCAGTTTCACAAACGACAGCAGAAGTGAAAAGAACAGAGAGTTTTGTTCATAACAGGTAGATCTGCAAAGTCACCCAAAGAATTGAATAGAAATTGGTAAAGAGGGAGACTGCATAAAATTAAAGATGCTAAACTAGTAAGCTAGAAAATTGTTAAGATCATCCTAAGGAAATATAATTTTCCTACCTGTTGTACGCATAAATAACTTATGTGGCTGACTTTCATACCCCCGAGATGTGTGGAGAGCAATCCAATCAGGATTTATTAACTTTGCACTGTAAAACAAAGTATAGACACATCAAAATGTAGACAGTTCTCATTTCCCTTCACATTCCTTTCAGCAATAAAGATGACATGTACAGGAGCATATTCCAAGAATTAAGATGAATGAGAAGAAATATTTCAAAGAGCAATAGTGACCAATGAAAGGTTTCCCTCCCAACTAGATCAGTTTATACTATAGAGATTAGCTACTCTCTCACAATAAAAAAGAATCGTTGAAAACAGGAAAAATGGAATACAATATTTATCAGGACAAGATAACTACTTTCAGCCTAGGCCCACTGACTTTAAAAAAAACAATTGTAAATTCCTCTCATGCTCAAGTATTAAATATAAACCATTTACAGTTCACATAGATGTCCCACATAACTGGGCCTGTGCACTTTAACCTACATTCTTATTCCATAAGTCTCATTCCAATAGCAGTAAAGCCCTTGTGGAAAAAGTATTCCAATAACAGAATTCTATCTACATGATATCCAGTCATCAAATGTCACTTCAGCTCTCAATACAAGAGAGGTTTCCCATGTGATGCACCCAGTCCCTACAGTACTTTTCTCTGTGCATCACTGGTCTAACAGTGGCTCATTTAGAAAGCTAAAAAACTACGTCACATCTAAATCAGCTAAAATTTAAGAAGCTGACAAAAAGAAGAACCTAATCCTTCAGTCCCGCCACAATAATTTCAAGATAGAAAAATAGAAGTATTAATTTTTAAGCAGCAGGGCTACATGTGAAATCTTTTTCCCTAGCTTTAAAGAAGCAAAAAAGTATTTGCTATTTCATCAGCTTTCCCAAATTGGTAATTTCTAGCTACTAGTTTCTCTCCTGTTCTCTCCTGGGGGGAGAGGAGAGTGGGAGTTGTGAACTTAGTGTTTTACACTCTCCACAACAGTAAATAATTAAAATAATGAACTTACACGTAAGCACACAGAAAACTGTGATAGGCAGTAAGAGGTGGATAATCCAGGCCCCAGTACAGTAGATTGTTGTCACTTGTATTGAAATACCTAAAAATAATAATAATAACGTTTAAAGAAGTTCTACATTTCCAGCTTTGTTTCAGTCCAAGGAAATGGTTGAATATTAAAGCAAACACATTTTTACCAACACACTCAAAAGGAAGTGAGCACCTTCTGTATCTGCTTTATTTTACAAAAAGTCTCAAGCAACAGAACGAAAGCAAAAATGACACAGAATACACTCAGTTGCGTTTGCAAAATAGAACACGCAAAATGCACAAAAAAACCCAAAACCCGCTAGAGTTTATTTACCTGGAGAGAAAAAAATATCTTTAAAATCCACAGAATTTGAGAAGAACTGAGAAACTCTTACACAAAATTAGCTTTACACATCAACTGCAGCTCTACATTTTTTTCATTTGGTAGACTCGTCAGAGCCTCACCTCCATCTACAAATATAATCTATATTTTTCCATGTCAATTATTCCAGAAGAGCAGTCAATTTACCAAATGAAAAAAGGAAATACAAACAATGCAATGAAATGAAAAGGTCAAAAGAATTTGAATTCACTAGTGATTTTCCTTATGTTAATCTTAGATTCCTTTTTTCCTGAACTTGGATGGCATATTTCATATGTGACAATGACTTCTGAACAGCTAAACTTTACCTTACACTTTTAAGCTACAATGTATCCAGTTGTCAATGGTGAACACTGATGCTCCATTACTTCTGCTCAAAAGGTCTTAATATGAAAATTTTGAAAAAACGTCAATGGAAGTTAAATTACTTAAAAGCAACTGAACAGAAAGGGGAGCAGGGAAACATAAAGGTATTACACAGAAGGACAAAAAAAGAAGCATAACTCCGGAGGAAAACAATGCCACAACAGGTACACCTAGACAATTCTATTAGCATGAATGTAAGAGTCAGGAGGCTAAAAAAAGTACCTTAAAAGGTAAAACTGAGTTATCAGAGTAATGCCACCCAACTAGCCAACATGAGGTTGAGAACCTGAATCAGGTATGTCAGCTGCAACCCCTTTACCTATTCCTACCTGAGGAGGTAACCTCAGGAGAACAACGCAAGTGAGATAGGAAGGATTTTTCCATCAATAGTTCTGCTGCGTTGATATTTCAATGGAAGGCTGGCTGCAGTTAGAATTAAGTTACCTCTTCCAAATGAGAAACAGAAGGCTTTATCCAAGAAAAACAGAAGTTACAAAAATAAGGCATTGGCCCTTTAAAATCTCACAGTGAAACAGATCAACTAGCCTATTGTAATTGCCAAGGGGCAAGGTTCTTGGCTTTTCCAGGTCCTCCACTCAAACGCAGCCCTTTTTTGACATTTATTATAGTAAATGATATCTCTTGAATTCCGTATGAGCTGCCTGAAGTATCTTATGAACAACTGATGATAAATCATATTTCTTTAAAATGCATCTCTACTACTTATCCTACCATTCAAGATTGTTCATGCCAAGGCAGTTCAGATTTTTCAAACAGTTTTTAATGTTCTGCAGTTTACTCACAAGCTTTCCTGTTACACTGTACGTTTCTTACTTTTACCTTCCATAAACTCAGAACTTCAACAGAGAAAAAAAAGATAGCCAAAAAAGCTATCTCCGTTTTAATTAACAAAGATATCTTCTTATTAGACTTCTAAAGTAGCTTTTAATAAATAGGCCATGACTGTAAAGAATAACGCAAAACACACAAGTGTTTAAATTCTGACCTCTGACTCACAGAACTCTCATACAAGGAAACTAAGTACAAATCATACCATAGTTTACTGCGACATTTTTTTTTAAACATACTTTGTTCTGAATCAAAGAAAATCAGCGTGGAACATGCAGCTATATTACCTATAATATGCCTGTTTAACATCAAAGTGATACTGAAATCTGTGCAAAGATCAAGGGATCTTTTAGGACTATGCCATCGTAAGAGAAGTTCTCTCTGTGTTAATCTACAGAAATCTACATAAGAACGTGCGCTGCTGCATAAACAGTCCTAAACACTAAACTGAGATAAACAACACTAGAATTGATTAAAATCTCAACTTCCAATTTGAACAGCATTATTACATGCTGGAGTACATCATCTTTCCACACTGCCTATTTCTATAATACTCAGGGGAAGGGGGGAAAAAAGGCTTAGTATTCTAGAATGTAATCCCTTGCATGTCAGTGGAGATGTTCTTTTCCAAACTCCCAGGACCAAATATGTCTTCACTTTACTGCAGATTCAATTCCAAAGCAGATCCAATCTGAAAAAATTCTATTATAAATAAAACGAAGAGCCAACACAACAAGACTGGGATGCCCAACTTGCAGTCACAGGCTGAACCCAGCCTGCAATATAGTTTCATCTGGCCTCTGGGAATGCCTAGAAATAATGACTGCTGTAACTCCTAATTTTAAGTTTTAAGTACATATTGTTCTGGGTAGCAGAGTGGATCAAAGCTGTCAACTCTATTATTATGATAGCTCTCCATTATGCCAACTTGGCATAACGAAGGGTTTGGCTATTCCAGAAAATGGAAAAGAAAAAGGGTAATACAGATACTATCGGGTGCCCTAAAGTCACAATACAGAGTCATTTGCATAGGTCCACAGAATGCCATAGTTCCAGGATTGGCCCCAAGTACATTTACAGCAATACAAACTGAAATAATATTCTATCCTGTTATACCAGTCTGCTCCCCAATAGATAGCTGAGGGAAAAATGATCCCAAACAAATAGAATGTAATTATCCCTGTTGTAAGATATAAAGTTTTCATTTACACCAATTTGTGTTGTAGCACATACATGGAACCAAACATTTTTATTGTTCCATGCAAGTTCTAAGGGTTTATTATATTTCTATAATTTTTACTCATCTATTCCTTCCCCCTCCCCCAAATCTCCATTTGGAATAATTTACCGACAGTCCTGAGTGACCTGTAGAAATAAGTTCACTATCCTTTACTTTTACTCTTTATTCCAGAGAACCACATTTCAAAATCTGTGTTTCACATTGTTCACACAGGTGTGAACAATGAACTCAATAGGTCTAAAGAATGAACTATGCCTCCAGCACAGAACGCCGGAGTATCCGCACTTAACAGCAGGCCGCTGTCTTTTAGCTTAGCTGAGATGAACAGTTTGTTCTGATTTTGTCAGTGCTGATAATAATAATAATAAGAGTTTTTGCTCATTAGCAGATTGGAAGGAATTCAGGAAGCTGAATTTTTTTTCCTCTCTCTAAAACAGGTACACAGGCTTCTGTATGAGCTCTCATATAAACCTAGTAGTAAATTGCTTCTCAGTCTTTCCAGTCACTTCAAAACAAAGCTGGAGCCTCAGGGCAGATAACTACCAGTCAGCAGACTACCACTACAGCAGAGATGACTACCATAAATACTGGAGTTTGTTTTACAAACTCACACCTAGCAAGCTGCAGTTCTGAACATTAGCATGTTTATTTTGTGAAGAAAATGGTACCTCAGTTTAAGAACAGGGACAGCATTACCACAAACACATTTTTAGAACAGCTCAGAGAACAGTAAAAAGTTTTGCAGATATCTTAAAGGTATTTAATTGGCATCTTTGTAACCTGAAATACAATAGCATTATGTACCATTGCTTGATGGGTAAATTGTAAGTAACTTCTTGCCAGTGTCTCTGAGCTTCATAGTCCCCATACATAGGTGGCTTTCCTGCACCTAAAAAGAGATGACAAAGAGTATTTTTGAATTTATTCTGTTTATGCACATTGCTTTTCCTCCAAATACGTACTTGCATATTAACATACCACTAATTTTATTCTCCATTCCTCTACTATATTTGAGAACAAAAGAAAGACACGATCTGCTAGGTAGTCTAACAGGGAGGGGAAAAAAAGCGTTATGCATTCTTTCAGCTTTCTGGATATTTCTGTGATAAGCATTTATCAACATATTCCACTGTGAAGGAAGAGATACAGTGGCTTGCTCACCTGACAAAAAGAAAAAATCGTTTGGAAGTATAGTATAACAAATGTGACACTTCTCTGAAATAAGAAAATGTACGTAACGGACATCTTACGCTGATTTTGTGTGAACCACTATGCTTTCTGAGTATACAAAAATTGATAGCGTGCTCACTTTCAGCCACGACACAGCACCTCGCTATTAAAATTTGCGGCCAGCCCTATTTTAAAACTTACTTGCTGAGAAACAGAGAAGCAACAAAATATGACAATATCTAAAGTAACATTTTGCTTCCTATTTATGATTTTGCATACAAGTTTATTTAATTCAGCACAAGCTCCACAGTTCACCTTCATGTGGCTGTTTTACAAACCATGAATATGTGTTACCTGAGTAAGAACCAAGTGATACAGTCCAACGTACAGTAAGTCCTAGTAAAACAGCAATCGTCATTAAGCTCCACTTCTCCATGGCTGGTCTTCCTAACAAGCCAAAGAGTACCTGAAACACCAGAAACATTGCTGCAATGCTGTCTGCGCTTTGGTTCCTTAGACAGTTAATGACACTGCATGGTCTCAGTTTTCTCATCACCCCCAGGAGCATCTTTTGCTACCTTGCTTCTGTAAGTATGTGGCAACCAGGAGGGTTTAAGTACTGAAAATTTTCTAATCACAAAGCCAAATGCTGCCCAGAAGCAATTTCTCCCATTTCTGAGTCACAAGGTGACCAGACATCTGACAAAATGCAAAAAAAAAATAAAAAAAAAAAGCAAAAAAGAAGAGTGAAAGATTTCAAATCACTTAAGAGAATCCAGATTACCTCATCAGCTCTATACTTACTATACATCCATGCATGTACTTAAGCTTCATCTTAATAAGTCCCACACAATTTGTTATGCAAATATGTAAGGTGTTTTTTTCCTATAAGTGACAACAGGAAATTCTACAAGAAACTAGTAGAGAAGGTTGTAGTGGTAGACAAAATACTCATGCCAACCCATGTATCTGAGGACCTCAATAACTAGTATTTGCTACTTTGAACAAAATAAGCCTCTTCAAAGAAGTCTATGTAAACTCCTAGATTAGTAACAATATTTGATTGGCTTTCTAGTGGGTTAACAAGTACACAGATAAAAAGAGCGAATAAATAGCATGCTACCACATTAATACCACTTATTTTCTCTTTATGATGTATGTCCTTATATCTGTCCACATGTTAACTTTTCTGCACCAGCCAATGTATTTTAATTCTGTCAATAGCCTACTCCATCCTTAACAGTATGTTCACGTTGTTTCTTCATACTCTTCCCTGACTTGGTTAACTTTAAATGTGGCTGACTGGATTCCAAAGTGCAACAAACATTAACGTTTGCTAAAAAATGACAGTTTTACATGAAAATATAGTAAAAGCAGCTCTCTGCCATCTCAGGAAAATGGGAAGAGGGAAGGATTTGGGGAAGAGCCCTCTCTGGACTAAAATGGGTAGTAATGCAAGTCATCAGACATGCACGTGCAAGATGACAGGACTATGCATTAGTCTCCACGCAGAACACTGACAACTTCTGGCTGAGCAACAAATATTTGTTCAAGAAAACACAGGAGCGATTAAAGTGTTGCCTGTAAAGGCCTCCCGTTACCCTATTAGGAGGGCAACCAGATTCAAGGCTGCGTTTAGGCCGTAGAATAAATCCAACTTTAGGGTTCCATCAAGAACACCACAGCCAAGTTATGCGAACACCACAGCCAAGTTATGCGAAGTACAAATCGGGTAAAGCTACTCTGTTGGTTCAAATGTATTCAGAAAATTATTTACTAGTTAACTATGTACTGGCAGGCTTTATGCTGGACCAGGTATTGTCTGTTCTCCTGCAGCCATTATAAAAGCACACAGCCAGCATAAACTCTGTATCACATGCTCTAGCTAATTCAACACACAATACATAATTAAAATCAAATTTGTACCACTGACCTAGGAATGAAAAGATCTGGCATTTATGACCAAAAATTCACTGATGTGAATCTTCTTTCAGTCTTCCTGAAACTCAAAAAGGGGGTTGAAATTCCAACCCCCTTTCCCAAGTATAAGCACGCTACTTATCACAGCTTCCTCTCCCTAAAGGATTCACCAGCTGAAGCCTTCTACTAGGCACAGCCAGGCATGAGGGAGCTTATTCTTCATCCTTTTATGCAAAAAGGCAGGAGGACTGATGGCTTGCCCGACCATGTTAAGGATCCAGTAAGAATAAGAAGTGTTGCTAGATCTGTCACATTAAAGGCCCCATGCATCAAGCTTGGGAATTGAGGTATACAAAAATAGTGACGTTACCCTATGCAAAAAAAAAAAAAAACTAGCTAAAGAATATACAAACTTTGACCCAGAGGACCAAAGATATTCTTTCCGAGTTCGAGTCTGAAAAAAATTGAGGAAGAAATTGCTTCAGTCTTGACAGTGAAAGACAGCAGTAAATCTAAAGGCTGAAATTCTGCCAGATCAGCAGTAGTAGTAGTACTGTTCCCTCCTCAGTCAGCAACAGATACATTACAGAACAGTGGACAAGTCCAGGTACGACTTCCAAGGACTTTCCTCTCCGAAGGGGCACCATCCAGGTCAGATGAGTTGAATATACTTGCCACTGCCAAAGAAGCCCCAGCAACAGTAGTGCAACTGCCATTTTAGTAACAGACCAGAAACCTCAATGAGACATGTTTAGGTTATTTCGCTCAGACTAAATCCATAGTCATTTGCCATTCACTGAAAGCCGTGACTTACCAACTCCAAGGAAAAAAAAAAAAGGTTATTTTAACAATATAAATCTCTGACAGCAGTAGACCCTCCTCCACAGGCAGGTACATGAACACTGATATTTGCAAGCTTTCTATGCTACACGCGTGCCTAAACCACAGGATAGGTATATTTATCTAAATAAGAGATACTGACTCCGTAAGATGATTGACTTCCAAAATTAAGTGCTGCAAGTTTGGCTTTTCCTTTTCATAAAATAACCACATCTGCTCTTCCCTTTCTATCTCCAGCTAGAACAGATGCCTTCACACCTATTTTGGCACTGGTAGCCGAGACCACCCCTGTTCACTTTTCTCTCTTCCCGTATTATTTAGAACGCCTCACTTCCCCTCACTTTACTCCAGCTGAGTCACTTTGCTCCATAAATTGAATTGCCTGCTGCCAATTCCTTATCTGGCTTCTTTTCTCTCCCCACCTTTTATGCTGTTTCCTAATTCTTATCTAATGTCATTCTCACCTGAACAAAGACTTTCACGTCTCCCTGTTCTTTTCCTTTGCCGTTCCCTGTATTTGGAATAAGAGCTATTTTCTTGGCTACTGAGTTTCTTCTTTCTCTCCCCTATAAGCGGTTCTTAAAATAGTCTTTCTTACTTCGTCTCTTCGTGAATAATTTTTCCACACAAAATTAAAACGACCACCACGGTCAGCTTGCAGAGCAGCGGCCTCTCGCTCCTGCTGATTGTATCCCCGTGGATAACAACCCTCAACAAACCCCCCCGCCCTTCAGGGGCTGAAGACGGTTTCACGCCTTTCAGTTTAAACCATTTTTAACCTTTTACCTCTCGAGCAAAGCGCTGCCCACAAGCACGGGCTGCCCCGCGG